AAGGGCAGAGTACTCTTAGCTAACAAAAGAAGGAATCTACTAGGATTAGTAAAGGAACCCTATTAGACTTAGATACTTACTAGATTATAATACTTATTCTAGGAGATATAGTACTAGTACTTCTTAGAATTCTTTAACTTAAAATTAAAATTATTAAACCTACCCCTAGCTAGAGCCCTAACTACTCTTATATAGAGAGCGTAATAAGTAATAGGGAGGACTTCTAGTAGTACTAGTACTAGTATAGCTAAAGGTTCTAATTTAGATTAGCAACTATTTAATTATATAGATTAAATACTTACTAGATTTTAGATAGATTAGGTTAAATATTTAAAAAATTAGGGATATAGGAATAAGAAAGTTAGTAGGTAGAGGGCTAGTTATATACAGGCTAGGGATAGGGGTCTGTGCCCTAGGAAGAAGAAGTAAAGGTAAAGGTAGAGGTAAAGGTAGAATTATTTTGCAAAAAGCTCTTCTTTAATAAGGGATCTGAACCTAATCCTAAGGATAGGGACTATCCTTTCTCTATAGGAGGGGGTAGTATAATAATAAGGCAGAATTGCCTACCTATTATTTTATACTAAGTTAGGCCTAATAAAGGCCTAACTTACTAATATATATAGAGAATAGCTTGCCTATAGTTAGGATAGGCATATTCTTCTTGTCCTTTTGTACAAGACCTATAGGTGTAGGAATCTTATCCTTTTCTATACAGACGCGCACTCCTATATGCCTTTGAGTCGTATAGGATACCTTTCGGATGCCCTACCTACCTAAGTCGTTACAAGAATAAAGTAGTTAATTATTTCCTAAATAATAAATATAGAAACCTGTTTATCTAGAATATTTAAATATAGATACTAACTCTTAGCATGTATATATATTAATCCTTAAGCATCTCTTGCTTTCTAAGAGAGGATAGTCTTTCTACTAGCTCTAGTAATAGTAGGTTTAGTCCTTAGGATATACCCTTTTAAGACTCTTTTCTTATATTTAGTTATTCTTAGGGATTAAGGTATTATATTCTAGATAGGAGGTATAGGGGACTAAGGTAGGGAATAGTTTAGAGAACTTAAGGGAGGTAAAGTTATCCCTATTATCTATTCTAATTCTATTATAATTTTGCCTTTCTCTATTTTAGCTTCTATAGGAATATTATCCTATTCTACCTAGGGTATATTAAGGATAAGTAAACTCTTAGATAATAATAGATAGAATTTTAGAAAGATAATATCTTATAATACTAAGATAACCTTTCTTAATAGAATAAATATTTAGAAAGCCTTAGAAGAGTTACTATAACCTACAAAAACTCCTAGTTCCATATAGTAATATAATTTAGTCCCTGCTTTTTAGGCCTTAACTAGGATATATACTTAGACTTTTATACCCTAGGGATATAGATTATAAATCTTTAGTTATCTGCTAAAGAGTGCTTAATATAGGGTTATACTAGGAAGGTAGGTATATAGCGTAATATTCTTTAAGTATATTATAGTATATATAAGTTTAGCCTAGAGAAAAATTAGATTATTATCTTCTAGTATTACTTAAGATATAGAGACAATAGTGCAATTAAATTGCTTAGCAAGGCTATTAGATTTATAGTAGTATAGTAGTAATATGCAGTAAATTATACCTCTATATTAGAGGTACTTTTAAAGTTTAGTGTCTATATACTTACTACTATTATTAGTTTAGAATATCTAGATATCTGCTTTAAATTATTATTCTAGGTATACAAAAAAATCCTTAATAGATTAGGCGGCGTTACTTTTCTTCTTTAGGAATCTTACCTAAGTAAACTAAGTGGCCTTATTAATAAAGGAAATATAGTACCACGCTCCCCCCACAGATATATAGGAGAATTTTCTAGAGAGGTTAGAGTGTATAACCTGCAGAGGCAGAGCTTTAAAGGGAATTGTCCTTAAGTTTAGCTTCTTATAGGTAGACTTAGACTTTATATATTAAGAGTACTTAAAATCCTTTAGGCACACTAGAATATATTAGTAATTATAGTAGAGGAGAGCTAGGTTTATTACTATAAAGTGCCTAACTACCTAATAGAATTCCTTATATAAGGCAAAATACGCGTAATTTAGGACCTAGGATAGCTTACTACTAATTTAGAAATTACTAGAAAGGTCTAATATTTCTAGGAGAGCCACTATAGCCTAGAATAGTCTAGGCAAATCTTAGGGGTGTTAAAGTTAGATCTCTATAACCCCTTTGTTATATTTTGCCTACAGGGCATATCTTCTATTCTATTTAAGGAGATAGAGGTTATTACCTTTTACTTAGAGTTTAAAACCTTAGTTCCTTATATATAGCTAGCTAAAGAGGCAAGTTTAGTAGAGGTCCTTACTATAGAGAATATTTATTAGGGTAGCTTCCTAGGTTAAACTATTAGGTATTATACATGTTAGTTACACATTACCCTAACTATTAATAGGAATCTTCGCCTATCCTATAATTATAATATTCCCTCTTATAGGTTTAAAAGTAGAAAAATTATTAATGCACCTAGATATATAACAAGAGGTACTAGAATTAAAGAGCTATGCTATTATATAATCTAAGGTCTGCGCTAAAGCTAAAAATATTAGGGTTAGGTTACTTACTAAATTTCTAGCACGTTTGCTATAGGTATTTAAGGTAGTAATATTTGCACTAAAAGCTAATGCTTTATCTTTATTAGTGCTAGAATTATTATTATCTAATATAACTGTATTATTAGCAGTATTACTAGTTCTATCCTTTAGGCGTTTTCTATCCTATTAAGAATTCTTAGGGATAGGTGTAGAGACTATTTTACCTTCTTTAAACAGCTTAAGTTAATAATATTTAGGGTATAGGTGTCTAATATAGTTAAAGTTATATTTCCTGCACTAAGTGTATTATTTATTATTAGCGTTGTAAGGATAGTTTAATAATAATACCTTTAGGGCGCAAGTTTATATAATAAGGGAGGAGGAAGTAGTATCTATACTATATTTTAAACCTAAGTTAAGTATTTTAGGTTCTATATTAGTAAACTTTATAACGCCTCTTATACTTAGGTTATTAATAATATAGTCTATAGTGTCTAGTAAAGAGACTAGGAAGAAGGAGCCCTTAACTTTATTAGAGTTAAAGATAGTTTATATTGCCTTAGTAATAGAGTACAAAGAAGTGGCATATTATTTTTATATTTAGATCTAGAGTTAGTAGAATTTATTAAGGTGTGATTAAAGGTTATTACTATCTTAATATTAGAGACTAGCTACCTTTTAGAAGAGATAAATAGTAGTGTTGCTAGTGTCTTAGTTATACCTCTTATTAAGGTACTTCTATGCGGCAGCTACTATGTTACAAGCTATAACTCTAAGAGTGTGGTTAGTATATACTAATAACAAGATTATAACTAGAGCCTTAGTGTTATTAGAATCCTAGGTATCTTAAAGGTCACCTTTAATTATTAGTTGTCTAGATTTTCTAGTAATATAATAGTAGAGTCCTGTATATTTAAAACTAATAGCCTAAGCTAATTTCTATTCTTAGAAGTTTAAACCTCTTAAGTCTAGCTTTAGAAGGCTGTTCTAGTTAAGCTTAAATCTAAATATAGATATTATAGTAGTAGTAGTAGTAGAGGGATAAGTTAGTCTTAGAGTAGGAGATAGGGTAGTAGACTAGGATATATAGTCTAGTAATATAGTCCTATCTAAGGCTATTATTAGAGAAGCTAGGAAAGCTCTAGTCTAGTTAAAGGCTAGGATATTAGATCTAGAAGGTTAGAGGTAGAGCTTAAGAGGAGATATTATATTACGTTAATTCTAATATAGTAGTAATAAGGAGGTATAACGCGTTATATAGCAGAACTAAAATAAGGTATAAATTAGATTTAATAGAGGGATATAGCAGAGTTAATAGTAACTAATAATAAGAGCCTAGGCTTATAACCTATAGTTATAGAGAATAGAAATGTAGTAGAAGTATGAATTTAAAACTAATCTAAAGGGGTGAAATAACTATATAGACGCGTCACGCGATAAGCGCTAGTCCTAATCGGGATGTAAACAATAAACCCTCCATCGTCACCGGCATTAGATAGTCCCTGCCTATCACCAACATCGCCGTTTCCTTGCAACACCCACCTCGATCGAATCGAAAATCGCAGCCAAGAAAGAAGAGAAAAAAATAACTTTACAGCCCAGCTTTCGTCTTGTCATGGGAGAGCGGCTCGATCTTGTGGATGGGGATCAAGACCTGGCTGGGGGGCGGAGGGTCCCGGTGGGAGAATTAGAGAGATCACACCACCACGCCCAAACCATTGCGGACGGACGAGGAAGAAAGAAGAGGGAACGCGACGGATGGAGACTATTCAAGAGAATTGAACCAATTGGGCCGTTCCTGTCCATGACTGTAGGAATGAGCTTCTGCCGCTCTCAAAAGATCCCGGAGCCCATTTTCCTACCTGCCATAGGGGCACGGTGCTGGCTCCAAACGGCCTCAATGGCTCACCAATGTCTGCACAGGCGGACCAAACCCCAATGAGAATGCCTGAGCACTTTCAAGGCAGGAGTCAAGGACTGCATGATCCATTGAAACGGAGAAGGATTGTGCATGTGTCTAACAGCAAGAGGTTTAAGATTCGCATCCTTCCCTATACCCCGTCGCCAAAGAGGTGCCAAAAGCCGGGCCGACTCCATTCGACATCTCTTTGACGGCGGCCCTCCCCCCGGCCCAACGAGCGATGTCTGGCCTGGGCCGTACTCAGCCTGATGCAGCGATACAGGGTTCAATGTCGATTTGCGAGTTCCCCGTCTGGAGATACATGATGAGGATCATCCTCGCACGTTGTTGATCATTGTACTATGTACCTGCGTACCTAGATCGTTACCGTAGACCCTGAGCCCACTGCCCATTGTTGGAGTTAGTGCCCACACCACTACTTTCTTCCTTCTTTGATAGATCTTTGTCTCCATCGACCTTTTGTGTCGACAGAGGATTGCAGCCTGACGATGTCGTCCGTCAAGCCTCCCGATCCGCTGCCTCCCGACCATTCTGTGGGAGGTGTGCTGCTCGTCTTGACATGCATCTTGACTGCATTTACTATTCTTACAACGACGCTGAGGATATGGGCGCGTTATGGGCGTAGAGCTCTTGGTTGGGTATACTTTGCCGCAAAAAGTCTTCTTTGTGGCTGTCAGTGACTGACATCGATCTAGGACGACTTTGCCATCATCATCTGTTGTATCCTGGCCACGATACGGACGAGCATACAGATCTTGTCTGTCGAAAGTGGAAATGGCCGGCATCGATGGTATCTGACGCAAGAAGAGTATGAATACGTCAACTTCCTGACTTGGCTCACCCAGCTGTTTCTCTTCACCAACATTGCACTCCTCAAATGCAGCATCTGCATGCTGATTCTGCGCATCAAGAATGAAAAGGTCTTGCGGCACTGCCTATACAGCATGATGGTCGGGCTGGTCTTGACCAACCTCTGGCCTATCATCATCTTGTTGGCTGAATGTGATCCGGTGAAGAAGTACTGGAGACCAAAAACACCGGGAAAGTGCTGGCCTACCAAAGTCCGCATCTACTCCATCTACCTACAAGTCGGTACGTCTCAGAAGTTGGATCAAGCAACTTTGTTACATTCACTGATTGCAGAATAGCGTACTCCGTCATCACTGACCTGATATGCGCCCTCCTTCCGATTGTCGTGCTCTGGAGAGTCAAAATCTCAACGCCAACTAAAGTTGGAGTCTGCGGCCTCATGTCTCTGGGACTCATCGCTACCGCCGTTGCCATTGTCCGCGCATCTTCCCTAGGAACCAGAACAGCCGACCTTTCCTACGACGTGAGCCTCAACAACCCTCACGCGACCCCTAAAAAGCTAACGAACCCCTAGTACGCCATCGCCGCCATCTGGGCAAACACAGAACTTCACCTAGGCATCATCGCCACCAACCTCGCCCTCAGCCGCATGATCTGGGCGTTTGTCAGTGGCAATTCGAAATCAGATCCTTCGCAGAGCACGCCCCGCTACGCCAGTGGATCCCGTCTGAGTCGTGCCGGGTATGTCAAAAGCAGCAACAACCGGAGCCAGTACGACAAGGACGGCTTGGCTACAGATATGCGCGACAGCGAAGACAATGCCAGCCAAGCGAGCCAGATTCCTCTCGACCCGGTCATCAAGCGCACGACGAGTGTGCATATCACCACGGCGCCGGTGGAAGGGGCTGAAGAGTCAAAGGAAACGTTGCCGAGCTGGAAGTACCCGGCTAGACCAGGGGGGAGGGAAAATATACATCCTTCTTCCCAGGGCTTGTGAGAGGCGACGGGAAGGAAAAGTTACTGCATCGATTTAATGTTATGCCACCTTTTTTTGTAACGAAATTGATGATGGTTGAAAATGCGACATTTACGCGCACATTATGTTGGACTATTATCATGGTATTGCTTTGCACGATTTCATCACCATACTTCCCTCGCCTAATCACATTTCCTACACTGCCTCTACCATCTAAACCCATCCACCTCACGACCAAACATCCCACCCCCTTTCACATACATACACACTGCACAACCCCCCAGAACCAGTAGCCCGACCAATGGCTCACGGCATCACGCCACGCCATCGCGTACCCTACCATAAGGATGCGAAATCACTTGTACCCCATGGCGCCCGTATACCCACACAATACAATGCCCTGCGTACCGATACATGGAAATCACACACCTCCTACCCACACGCCCAGCATCCAAACCTTTCCGGGGTTCTCCCTGCGCAGGCTAGACAGAGTAAGTATTCCTTCGCGTCCCTCCCTCCGACCCACCGGCTCCTCTCAGCCAACGGGCGAACCAGTTCGTCCATGCCGTCTTCCGGCAAACGGTCAACTGTGGGATCGTGCTAGGTGAGCTAGGTGTGTGTGCGCAGTACATTGGTAATGACGCTTTTTGCGTTGTGAGCCGCGGTAGCGCTAGGCGTGCCGCTCCGCTTTGGGGGCGTGTTTCATGTTCGAGTGGGGGTTTTTTTTGTGAGATTGGGGAGGGGTTGTGTAGTGTAGTGTGTGTAAAGGGCAGAGATGTTGCGAATCGCTCACATGTGTGCGTGGTTTGCTGGTGTGCCTTGGGTAACATAGCTACATGCTGCAACGACGTCTAGTGTTCCGCGGAGAAGGGTAGGGAAAGTCAGGTCGAGTCAAGTGCAAATGTGCCGAAGGGATCGCGCATGCGTCCATCTTGGCCTGGTCGGTGTGTCGTGCATGCAGGTACTGATTGTACCATACGGTACCGGTTTGGCACCTAGAGATCCTGCGCAAAGCAAAGCACGCAATGTCCATCATCCACGGGGAAACAGCACATGGCGTGTAGCTACAGTACTCTGTCCATGATACAACTAACTGGCTATGTATATACGAACAATCATGTATGGCAGCCACTGTTGGGTTTCGGCAACGAGGCAACAAGGGCCAGACATCATGGAAACCTCTCACTTATTGAACGAGTCCGCGCGGGGATTCTTTCAGAAAAGGACACTCCCTCCATGTCCCCACCTGTATGTACCTACCTGGTTGTGTTGCGAGGGCGGCTGAGCTTCGGTTGAGACACATGGGCCGTTCTGCGGACAAGGTTGTGATGCGGAGACTTGCGACTTGCGCATCGCGTTGATTGGGAGGTAAGTGAGATGGGAAGATTGAACTTTAATTTAGGTACCGGTACCGTTGGTACAGTACATACATTGTTAGATTCATCACTGTTCTGCTCTATCATCGCCCATTGCCCATCACCTGAAAATAGAGAAGCCAAATTCCTCTTCATCACCCACTACACAATCGTTCACAATCCTACGTAAAAATAGACACACCTTTCCCACATACACACATACACACACACACACACTCACATTCGCCGAAACAATCCCCCCCCCCCCCCACCCCTGCACGACCGCCAACCAGCCAAAGCGATTTCCACCCGACACCAAGTGACCCTAGTGCTCAGGTATCCCATCTCGCTCAGCCTTGTCGGACCTTCTCGGAACAAATACGACCCGTTCCTGCACAAGACTCTCTCCCATTCTCCTCCCTGCCACAAAGACTCTCCCCCACGTGCGGTTTTTGCGGCGAGGCGAGACGGCACGGACATCGAGTCTCGTTTAGCTGCAGGTTGCGGGCCGATTGCTAAGCGTACGGGCTGGAACTGCGGTGCTGAGTGCGGTGCGGGAGAACTACCTGGCGAGGTAGATACCACTGTAGGTACCGTATGTATGTATACAGTGCTATGTAGGTAGGTACCTAAGGGTAGCTGTTTTACTGGCCCAGTCGGTTAAAGGGTAAGATGGGTGTTGGGGCTGGGGCTGGGGGCACAGGCTGGGTTGGGCAGTGACGTGATATGTTGTTATGTGGTTGACTATGGGTCGGCGGAGTCGGGGACTGGATTTAGGGGTCCGGGGGAAGGATTTTGGTGTTGGATGAGATGATGTGTGAACTGCCTGTTTACGGTGTATACTATGTACTTGTACCGGTACAGTAAGTTGTTTGCGCCAAGTACAGGTATGCTCGCAGACTGCCATCTTTGGAACAGGACTCTCGACGACATAGTAGTTTCACATGAAAGACACGTGAGAAGAGCGCGGAAATCTTGGGGTATGACTTGTGTAGGGCTCTTGCTCCTTTGCGCAAATAGGAAGTTGCTTATTTACTCAGGTGTCTGTGTTGCTTTATTGGCTGTTATATTCAATACTTGAAGCTCGGTACCAAAGACGGAGAGGTCGAACACGGCTCAGTTGCAGAACACAGCATCGGATTAACGTACTTGATATTCAATACTGTTAGTCTGTCATAGGGTCTCTAGTCCGACACTCGCATGAATGGACGGTCGCGAGGTCCGATTATTGCACCGTACCAGATAGCGGATTGTGCGGGGAAGCTGGCAGAATAGTTTCAAGGGATTGCACTCCGAGGGTTTCGTCCAGTGTACAGCTTGCCCTGTTCGTATTCCGGTGCGTTGTTGTTTCCACCGCATATTTGAGTGGCACTGTTGGAGTGGCGTGGTCACTTGTCTGAATCACCTACACTCCACCACCCCATCCCAAAACCAAATACACCACAGCCCCAAGCAACGCATCCCAACTCAAAGCCTTCACTGCGTAGCCACCAACTCGTAGAGTAAGCAAGACACTTGCAATACTTAGTTCCTTGCTCAACCTTACTACATTTGCGACCAAAAACCCCCCAGAAACGGTAATGCATTTTGCAATCTCCGACTCTCGTAAGCTCAAAAGACCAGAGTGCGGTAACAACAGTACCACTCGCTCAAATAAGACCAGGGGGCTAAATGTGGCGTCTGCCCGCAGTGCAGGCAGTGCAAGTAGTGCGATATTGAGCAAAATGTTGGGAATTTGGAGTGATGCGACGGGCTTTCTCCGCGCTGCTGCCGGTGCGTTGCCGTGCTTGAACTCCGGTGCTCTGAGATGGAGTTGGATAATGAAGAGACTTGCCGTGAGTGAAATGGGTAAGATTTGGCCGAGTAAGATATAGGTGCGCATCATGGATGTCTCAATTGTACGTTGACGTGCTATAGGTTGTTATATCAGCAATCCCTCATCGTTCCCAACATCTGACTAAATCTCACTGGGTGGGGGAATTATATTAATCTTACCTTTTCGAGCCATCCAAATGTTCCAGAACCATGTTCCAACAATCGCGCTCTGCGTCCATACCGCGCTGGGCGCATTCTTCACCAAATCTTGCGCGAACTCTTGGAATAGTGAGGAATCCAGCATCCAGCTCCTCAGGGCTGGAATCGTAACATTTCCAACACTCCGGCTCGGATCCCCACTCCAAGACAGGTAATGCGTGACAAGGAACATCAGCATGTTATACGACAGCATCGCAAAGCTAATTGATGCGAGAAATGCATAGATTTTGATGTGCCGCTTGCGCGCATTCTTTGCAGCATTGAGTCCAGGATTTCCTGGGTTGGCGTATGTGTCTGGTAAGGTGGTGTACTGGCCGTAAATCGATAGTGTGATAACTATCGTCGTGTATAGTGCTACAATGATGTATAAGAGGAATACCGTGGTGCCAATGTAATTGTGTGGTGGCGCAGCGTAGTATAATGGCGTGTCGAAACTAGGAAAACTCATCTTCGAGGAATCCACAGAGATACAAAGACGTAAAGGAAACTGCAAATGCGCATGAAGAAGCGGAAATGGATTTCAAAGATGAAGGGTTCCTGTTTGTTGTTGGTAGCCTGGAGGTGCGCGTCCAAATCTGACGTCATGAGACAAGAAACGTGTGAGAAGTCGGGAGACGACACACTTCGGCTACAATTGCTTTGCAGCACCATGGAGGAATGGGTTACTTCAAAGAAGATCACTGCTGAAATCTAGTACACCGTCGATATAATTTGTCTTCATCGCAGCTTCATTGTGCGTCGCTGTCGCTGCGACAATACACCATGACTGTACACTGATCCGGCGTTTCATGAACACGAATAGATACAATATCTCATAGAGCTGACGCAGATCCAGGCTGAAGCAATTGGAACTCCGTGAATAAATGTCTTGGATCAGCGCAATTCGATCAAGGAATCTTTCTGATATCTTTTAGCTCTCTTAGGTAGCGACTCTGCTGCAACACAAGGTTCAAAGGTAATTAAGGAAAAGAGAACAAAAAAGGGGCTTGGTTGCGGTGCAAGAGGATTAGGGAAGATAGTTAGATATGCTATTTCATATAGTCTCGCAACAACTCACCTTGCAATCTCCTCCGCCCCCCTCAAATTCTTCCTTTTAAAGTCATCCTCTCAAAGTTTCCCCCTCAGGGCCTCCCCTCCACCACCCTCCAGCACAGCAATCAACATCCCTTCCCCCACGTCCTCCCCGTCCTCAACCTCCATCACCCACACTACTCTCCCGCCTTTCCCCGCCCTCACCTCGACCTCCATCTTCATCTGCTGAATCACGCACAGCACATCGCCCTGACTCACCACATCTCCCTCTTCCACGCACAGCTCCACTAACTTTCCTGGGAACGGGGCGGCGATGTGCGATGGATCAGAGGGATTCGCGCGACGGTGCTGCGATATTGAGGCGCTGGCACTTGCGCTAGTTGTGGTGGAGAGTAGAGTTACGGTGTAGGGTGTTGGAGTAGGGGTTGAAGGGGTGGTGAGGAGCAGGGAGGCGGTGAGAGAGGAAGGGAAGGAATTGGTGTGGATGCGGGTTAATTCTATGTGATGCGTTGGTTGGGGGTTTTGATTTTTGGTGGTGGTGTTATCGTTGGGCGAGGATAGAGTCAGTGACCAGGCGTCGCCTTTGCGGAAGGGCGGTGGTGCCGTGGAGAACGCGGGTAAGGATGCTGAGGTCGTTGCGAGCGGTGTTTGACCAGAGGAAGGTAGTTGACTTATCTTTTGAAGGAGCTCCGATTGCGTCGTTTCCAGCCATTGGGTATCGCATTGCTTGTTGAAGAAAGATGGGTGGTGAACTATGGCTTTCAGCATGGCGATGTTGGTTTTGACACCGGTGATTTGTGTGTCGGATATGGCAATTTGAGCTTTGCGCACGACACCTTCCCATGACGATGCCGTGACGATGAGTTTGGCGATAAGACTGTCGAAATCGGCAGATACGACGGTGGGGTGGCCACTGATGAGATAGGTATCTACTCGGATGCCATTGCCTGTAGGAAATTGGAAGGAGGTTATCTTGCCGATCGATATGGACCAGTCGTTGTCGACATTCTCGGCTGTGATGCGTAGCTGTATCGAAAGTACCGTAGGAGGGTGTTCTGGAGCTCGAGATGCCATGGATAATCCACATTCGTGGAGCTTAGCACCCTGTGCCAGGAGGAGTTGTGCTTTGACGATGTCAGTCATTGATATCGATTCCGTGATGGTATGTTCGACTTGAAGTCGTGGATTCACTTCTAAGAAGTAATATTCCTTTGTCGTTGGATTGAGCAGGAATTCAAAAGTGCCAAGAGAGAAGTATTGGATCTGGCAATCATCAGTAGCAGCTTTGCGTCGTGAAATTGTCCTGCACTTGCGTGTTCAGCCATCCTCAATGCATCTTCAATGACCTTTGCAACCAAGGTTCGGTCTGATACAACGCTCGGTGCCAACTCGATGATCTTTTGATACCGCCTTTGGATACTACACTCCCGTTCCCAGAGGTGTGTAACATTCCCTGTGCCATCACCAATGATTTGTACTTCCACATGGCGGAAGCCGCCCACAGCGGCTTTCTCTGCAAATATTTGTTTTGAAGGGCTCTCCTCGATTGCTCGTTTGAATAAAGAAGCGAGCTCATTTTCTTCACGGATCAAACGGATACCTCGTCCACCACCTCCATCTACTGCTTTCACCATGACAGGATACCCAACCTGAGCTGCGAATTGTCGCACGTCTTCGACACGATTGGTTGGATTGTGTAGAGCTGGTGCCACAGGGACTTGGCCTGTATAACGCATAAGTACACAAAACAATAAACCAAGTTTCAACATCACTCACATCGTTCAGCAAGCTGTCGCGCCTTCAGCTTATTCCCTGTGTCCTCCAAAATGCCCCACCCCGGCCCAACCACAGCAGCGCCCGCTTCCTCCCATGCTCTTTTCGCGAATACTTCCGATTCGGACAAGAAACCATAACCAGGATGGACAGCATCAATCTCGTGCTGTTTGCAGATGGTAATGATTGCATCGGTGCTCATAAATGAAGAGACAGAGTCAAGTTTGATCATGTGGGCTGCTCGGGCAGCGTGGGAATCATCGCCATTTGTGTAGATAGCGTAGGTTTCGAGATCCAGCTCCCGGGCTGATGAAATTATGCGTGTAGCTATTTCTCCTCTGGTGTTCTCATTAGCATTGGATGTAGTCCCAAGGGAGGACTTGTTTACCTACCGATTGGCAATGAGCAGACGTTTTATAGGCCGTGCTGGAGCTCTGGACATCTTGAGATCATTCGTTTCCAGTGGTATGAAAGCCGTTGAGTTGAATATAGGCATTCAACGCTAAAGGGAATTCGAGATGGATTCTTTTCCCATTAAGCATGCCCTCAATGGAATTCTCCTCAAGACTGTTGCCGTCATGACGGCACTGCCCGTTTCGGATTGGACGAAGCGAACGCGAGCGAGACTTCGCGGGGAAAGCGGGCTTTGCCTCGGTAACTTTACAACTGATCATCCCCCAGCTTTCAAGCCCTCCACATCTTCAAAGCCGAAACCATTACAATGTGATTAAAACCTTCAAGCTCCAGCCTAGGAGCAGCCATCTTCTTGAACATACTGATAAGTCGGTCGAACGCAGCCATGGCCGACGATGACCAATCTTCTTCGCCACAAGACGCGGCGACGTCATCCAATGTCGCAAAAGACCGTCTTGCTCAAGTGAGCTCGCACCTCGCCCCAAATAAGACCAAAAGACGCAGAAGAAAAGGTGCGGATTCAGATCTGCCTGCCGACTACTCAGACATATTGGGCCAGATAGCGACACTTCGTAAGATCGGTGCAACGCCAGACACCAGTAATAGGGGCTACGTTCGTCAAAAGCTGGCAGGGAAGCTGTGGGTCAGAGAACGTGTAGACCAATTGCTTGATCCCGGTAGCTTCCAAGAAATTGGGAGCGTAAGCGGGACCGTCAAGTGGAAGCAGACCGGATCGGTGAAAGAAGAGCCTGTGGAATTTGTTCCGTCGAATAATGTTCAAGGTAGGTGCTGTGGCGGGATACTCTGCTCACACTGACATGGACAAGGCTTTGGACGTCTGAGAGGGCGAAAGATAGTCTTCACCGCTGACGACTTCTCTATTCGCGCTGGTCATGCGGATGGAGCACTGGTGGAGAAGACAGTAAGTACCGTGCCACTGACTCCGTATGATATGATCAATGCTCATGACATCAGATATACATGGAGAAACTCGCCATTTCACTCAAGTTGCCCATCATCAAACTTGTTGATGGATCTTCAGGAGGTGGTTCTGTTACTACCATTCGGACCACAGGCTTTTCCTACGTTCCCCCGCTACCCTCATTTCCACAGGTGGTTCAGCAACTGAACATGGGCGTACCAAATCTAGGAGCCGTAGTCGGACCAGCGATAGGGCTTGGAGCAGCCCGGGTTGTTGCATGCCACTTCTCTGTTATGGCTGGTGACATTGGCTCACTATTCAATGCGGGTCCATCTGTTGTGTCAAACGCTACTTTCGAAGAGGGTCTCTCCGTTACCGATCTAGGTGGACCAGCGGTGCATTGTACCAATGGAACGATCGATAATCTGGCCGCTGATGAGGCAGGTTGTTTCGAACAGCTGCGTACTGTTCTCAGCTATCTCCCTGACTGCGGTACGAGACTGCCTCCCACAATCGAACCTGCAGATCCCATCAAGCGAGTATCTGAGAATCTTCGATCGATTATTCCTCGGTCAAAGAATCGCATGTATAATCCACGTGCAATCATTACTGAAGTCGTCGATCAGGGTTCATTTTTCGAGATCGGCGCTCTATGGGGAAACACGTCGATCGTGGGGCTCGCGAGACTTGGGGGCAAGCCGGTTGGCATTGTTTCACTTAACTGCGAGGTCAATGCAGGAGCGCTAGATGCCTTAGGCTCACAAAAGATTACGCGCATGCTCAAATTTTTGGACGTTTTCAACATTCCGCTCGTTCAATTCGTCGACATCCCAGGCTACGCGGTTGGCACCGTCGCTGAGCGCTCAGCAACCATGCGACACGGTGTTACTATGGCAGCAACATACTATAGTACGACGATGCCTATTTTTAGCGTCATCGTTCGGCGCGTCTATGGAGTTGCGGGTGGCATCATGTTAGATTGCCGCGACCCGCGAATGCGTGTTGCCTGGCCCTCGGGTGCTTGGGGATCCCTTCCGCTTGAGGGTGGCATCGAAGTCGGGCATTCTTTTGAGTTGAAGGAGATTGAGCGGAAGGAGGGGCGCCCGAAACGGGCCGAGCGGTATACTGAACTGGACAACGAATACAGACGACTGATGAACCCTGTTCGGACTGCCAATGCGTTCGGGATTGAGGAGATCATCGACCCTGCATACACACGACAGATCTGCTGTGAATGGGCAAGTCATATGTATGAGAGCGTACTGCCAGAGCGAATCTTGGAGAGAATAGTCGGTAAGCTTCAACCAACGTTCGCGTAAGATAACTGGGTCCAGCAATGAAATTGCTACATGCAGTCATCCGAACAGTCAGAACACTAGTTAGGTAATAGAAGATGCGCATGACGGTCAGATCACATCTCATGCACCAATGTACTACCTTGTGAAAGGAGAACTACACCACCCGCTCACCACTACTGTACATTGGAAAGCCGAGGCGTCTGTACAATAGAATCGGCGACCAGAGTTTCCGTGAATAGGTAGATTTCCGCCCTACCGAAAACTTACCAGAAGTTCGGTCCCGAACCAACCGACAAAATTCTTGAGCCTAGTTCATACCGGTATGCGGCACAGGCAACAGGATGAAGGAAGAATTAATCAGTCGTGTCCGAATTCGCGGGCTCAACGTTCACACAGGTGCGTGTGGCACAGCGCTAAATTTCAAGCTGCTTATGGCTCATTTACCCTACTTGGCACATTGTCGATATGACGCCGCGTGGTGTGCTCATGGGGCACCCGTACGGTTAAGATTTGTCAAACCCGGGCAAATAAAGCACGCTATTTGGTTTTGATATCCGGGTCTATCAAAGGTAGTGGCATGCAATTATCTGGGGTTGCAGTTTCGGTTTGTAGTCACTGTATTCGGTTCGTCCACTCAAAAAGAGTCAACACATGCGTTGCCTCGTTTTGCCAGCAAGTCAAAGATCCGTCTCGAGCGTCACAGATGCGTGCTGTATATTGCTACACAAGCATGCGGGGCAAAACCCAAAGCGTCTACCCCAGCCGTCTTATGGCAGCCCGCATTCGCCGACATACCTCCATGTTGATCATTGCAGCCTCTGACCACGCCGCACATTCTAGGCATTTGAACTTAATTGCATCTCTGCTTATGTAGAGACTTGTTAATATCCATCGCTCAGTAGACATTGAACTCGTGTTCAAGACGTAACTACACATCTCGAACGTCATCGGGGGATCTTGCCTCTCACCTTGACCACCCTCAAGGCAAGATGTCGCCTGCGGGCACTGCATCTTCTGCGAGGCAGGCTGAGCCTGTGCTAACCCGACTCGTCGACTTGGACGATACGCCTTGGTATAGGAAAAGGAATCTCCGCAGGCTCTACGCGTTGTTACTACCAACATGCATCGGCATCGAGATGACTTCCGGCTTTGATTCGCAAATGATCAATGCTGTACAAATCGCGCCAGCATGGCATGACTGTGAGCGAGGACAATACCTAGAGAATTATCGAATCGCTACTGACGTTGTCTAGACTTCAACCACCCTCGAGGTGCGCTTCTAGGTATTATCTCCGCCGCATACAATCTAGGGGCTATCTGCTCTTTGCCAATTGTGCCATATGTAAACGATACCTTCGGAAGACGTTGGGCAATCTTTATAGGGTCTTGGATCATGGTCGTTGGATCATTAGTTCAAACGCTATCAGTTAGGGGTAGGTCATCCAAAGAAGTTACAGAACATCGTATTAACAACCCATAGTTGGTATGTACATTGGAGCGAGGTTCTTACTTGGATTTGGAATTCCATTCTGCATTATTGCGGGTTCTTCCTTGATGGGCGAACTCGCATATCCGAAAGAACGGCCCATCATGACATCACTCTTCAACGCGTTGTGGTTCGTCGGGTCACTTATCGCGGCTGGAATATCCTTTGCCACGCTTAGTATCAAGAGCGACTGGGCTTGGAGAGTACCCTCTATACTTCAAGCCGCCCCCTCGCTGCTCCAAATCATTTTCATCTTGTAAATTCCTCAACTTCTGGCGTCTTTATTTCCTGCTGACATCAACAGCTTCATACCCGAATCACCCCGCTTCCTCATCTCAAAAGACCGTCACAAAGAAGCCTGGCATACAATTGTAACCTATCACGCAGAAGGCGACTACACTTCACGCTTTGCCGCCGCCGAAATGGCCCAAATCCACCATACGATCCGCATTGAACTTGCGAACTCCAAGCGCTCCTGGCTCGAACTCCTCACCGTCCCCGGTCTGCGCAAACGTGTAATCATAGGTTCATTCCTCGGCGTCTTTACTCAGTGGAGCGGCAACACCCTCTTATCATACTATCTGAACGACTTGCTGGGTCTGATTGGCTACAATGATCCAGAGTTCATTGGTAAAATCAACGTGGGTTTGAACAGTTGGAATTTGGTAAATGCTGTGATCATCAGCTTGCTGGTCAGACGGTTTCCACGACGAAAGATGTACCTGATATGTGCGAGCAGTCTGTTGTGTTGCTATATCATATGGACGGTCGCCGTACAGCAGTACACAACAACGCGGAAATTGGCACCGGCAAGACTGACGATTGCGATCATCTTCATTTACCAGGCATGTTATAATATTGGATACAACGCCTTGACATACAGTAAGTTGGCCGCGTCGAGGCTGATCCCGGACAGGGAAAGATTTTAACAATGTGTAGCATTCCTGGTAGAATTGTTTCCATTTGCACATCGCGCAAAAGGTATCACGATATTTCAATTCTTTGGCCGTTCAGCCGCATTTTTTACCACTTTCGTTAATCCAATCGGGCTGAATACTATCAAATGGAAGTGGCTCATTACCTATTGTGCCTGGCTGGCTTTCGAGATCCTTTTCATTGTGAGTATTCTCCCCGTCCCTCAAAAAAGTCTTTTTCATCCGTTGCACCGGTTCCATCTCGCCACTAACGGCCAATGAATAGTACTTCATGTTTCCTGAAACCTACGGTCGTACACTGGAAGAACTCGCCTTCCTGTTTGAAGACCGCGCGCGCGCGGAAGAAGCAACTTTCAATGTGGAAAAGCAGATGGAACACAGCGACCACAGATATAGCCGGATGGACGAACAAATGAGTTGGGAGATGGACGTTGTAATACCAGGGGATAATAATGACGAGGAACGAATGCGACGAGTTTCTGGTTCGGGGCAAAAGCAAGCCAATGCGAGCTGGTGGGAAGAATGACGGTTTAGCGGCCTAATACGCGAGAAGTACTCCGTAGTATGTCGCAGTAATCAAAATTCAAGTTGTCCTGATGAGATGATAAAGAGTGACACGCGTTTGGAATACACCAACTGACATGTCGAACACTCAGCGGTATTGCTGTGGCCTCTTGACTAAATAATGCGCACTGTAGGCAAAAGTCCTAACCTTTGCAGCCATGTCAACTAGGAGCAGCCCCGTATTCTCTCTTTCCTCACGACGTGCTAAGTATTATTGAATATGCTATTTTCTTCATCTCATCAGTCCCCTGATCGCATGATCCGACGCTGCCGAAGATAATCTCCCGGCCCTAATTTAAGAGCTAATATTGATTCGCCGAACTTGCGCCATAGCAATCACCCCACCATCACAAAACCGAGGTCCGGCATGGCCGAGATTCAACACAATGAATTTCCAGCCTTTCCTCCTCGTTTGTAATTAAGGTTATATACTTATCAAGCACCAACCATGCCATCAGTTGAGCAAGAATCTTCCCAACAAATGGGTTTTGTAGTGTAGCGGTTATCACTCCAGATTCTGATCCTCCAATTCAGTGTTCTGGTAACCCCGGTTCGAGTCCGGGCAAGACCTTCCTCTTGACCATTCCAATCTTTTTTTTGCTTTTGGCGAGCCTGCATGCAGGTCGCAGTATACTAGTCGCCATGGCAGGAATTTTTTTGTGCACATCCCCTCCAGGTAAAGGACAGGCATTGAAGTTATTTTTTGTGGCAAAGGGCTAAGTCAAGCGTACAAGAACAGGAAAATGTGCTGCGCAGCGTAGAGGTGGTGAATTCTGCTTACAATACTCGCGGAAGTGCTAGCCATGAAATGTTCAGTTGGATTGCTGAAAGAACTTAATTGCTAAAGAAGCGACGGTGTTGGAATTCTAAGATGGATAAATAGAGGAATTGCGTTTTAGATTCTAGGGTTGGCTATATTATATTATGTTATTATTTATATGTCTTGGTTAAGAGTTCATGCAATACGAATTTGACTGTCTAATCACTGATTTAGGAATGAGTATTAGGAGTCGTGCTCGCTAAAATATATATTAACTATCTAAATCATAGCGTTCAGCTGTTCAGCACTTGTGGGAAGAGCGAGATACTGGAGCATCATGTATACGCCTAGCAAAACGTGCATTACTCACTTATTGACTGTAAAACGTTATGCTATCTACCTCTTAGCATATCGCACCTTTGGATTTATCACGCTGACTGTTGTTTCCTTTATCTATATAGTTACCGCATGCTATATGCGCTACTTGTACGGCTGTGGTCATTGGGGCCTGCGTTCATGTCACTCCTAATTCTGACTCTTAGGGGAATTATGAACTATTGCGGCCGCGCTGGTCAATCCGATAAGCAACTTCACTTTCTTTTGAAAGCTTGGCTGCGTTTTTCTGACCAAATTACCAAGATCATCCACGGTTTTAGTGTCATGTAACCAATCTTCGGATGGCATATCACCATATAGTATATAACAGTAGCCGATAACGCTGAACAGAGAAGAGGACAAGTAGGAGGGCTTATTAAGCTCCTACGAATCACACAGACACTGCCCAGTGAAAGCTCCAGAGATGAACATGAATCATATATCTCACTCATCAAGCATGAATTTCTGGCGCAAAACCATCATTGCGACATGAAGCACTCATATACCTGGCTCGAGCTGGTTTGTGTCATACTGAAATGTCATATTGAACGACACATACGCGGAGCAGTCATTGTATCGCCATATAAATAAGCTTCGCACCCTGAACAACGATGGATACCACAGAAAGAAACAACAACCTTCACTGAAGAAACCGAGTCCTTTGAACACCATCAAACATACCACAGCCATGTCTGACAAGAAAACTGCCACGGGTTCCAAGAAGTTTGGCACAGGTGTCCAGCTTGCAATAATTTCGAAAGCGCCAGCGTCCTCTGCTGCAAACAAAAACGCCGATGCTGGAAAGAAGTCCGGCACAGATGATCAAGCTGGATCCTCATCAGGCCCGGGTGCAGATACACATCATCCCGACACCAACGAAAGCCCTACAAAGAAGAAGAAATATAGCAGATTTGACGAAGAAGACATTGCGGAAGGGCGAGTTCCAAGTGCGTTTATACGGAAAAGAGAGGACCCATCATGTTGCAGGGTTCTATGAGATTAGAACTTCTGTCCTGGTTGGACGTGGAATGAAAGCTCTTTGATCCATGTATTCATAACCAAAGAGGCAATGACGAAGAAATAGAATTGGACTGATTTGATCAAGGAGCAAAAACAGATTGAATTGCACCCGTGACTTGTTGATCTTCAAAACGCGAGTCCTGTGGTAATTTCGCGACTATTGCTAAAACCGCAAGCATTTACTGGTAATCCTTGTCGGGAGAATCAGCCTCGATAACTCACGTGGGAAGAGTCACAGGAGTAGGGTAACGGAGTCTTGATATTGATCTATTAAAGTGAATCTCCCAACCATCCCACTCTTCTCATGCGCCTGCAGCCCGGCGAGTTAGATCGCATGGGGCAGGGTGAGACGGAGCGCGGGGAGTATATTAGGGGTGTGAGTGGGGTGGGGATGGAGAGTCGGTATGCTAGTGTGAAGATGGGGGTGGGGATCAGAATCAGCATCAGCATCCGTGGTATGTGAGGACGAAGGTGTTTCGGGGGGAGGTTACTAGGGTTAAGAGGGGGTGAGCGGGGGTGGGTGGATTGGGTTGGTGAAGGTGAAGGGGTGATGCTTGAGTTGAGAGGGAAGGAGAAGGTATTGTTTAGATGAGGTTTTCATAAACATATGACAGCGTCCAGATCCAGTCATCTCGAATAAAATACCAAGCAAGCTTGCTCTAATCAAAAACCACCTTCTTAGCCGTCTTCATCCCCCCAATTTCAATCTTCAACTTCTTGCTTTCTTTGGCTTGCTTGGCTGCTTGCCAACTGGGGTGTAATACCCCCTTGTCATCTCTGTCCTTTTTCAATGGCGCACCAGCACCAGTACCCCGTCTGTCACCCAACGGCTCTGCATTCGTCCCGCTCTGCTGCGGTCCCCGACCCCGAGCCACATTGTCGCTGCGCCCACGCGCACCTCCGCGCTTCTCCTCACCCACCGCACCACGCTTAGCATCCCAGCCCTCATTGCGCCGCTGCTTTTCCAAATGCTTGGCCGCAGCGCCGAATTTCGCCTCTGCAATCTTTTGGCGTGCGCGTTGGCCACGGCGGTTTTTGCGCGGTGCGATGTCGACGTCGAGGTCGGAGGCGTCGGACTCGGAGCCGGAGAGGTAGGCGGCGTGGCTGAGGCCTGGGAGGAAGGTGGAGCTTGTTGGGGGTTGGAGGTCGAGTTTGGATTTTTTCTTGGGTGCGAGGGTGGAAGTGTCGGAGTCGGATTCGGAGTCGCTCATGTAGGAGGGTGGGGCTATGGAGCGGGAGAGGCTGGTGATGTGTGTGCTGGCTTTTGCATGGGCAGTTTCGTTATCGTCGTCGTCGTCGTCATTGACGTCATCAAAGGCCTCGAAGGAGTCGGCGCCAGCTTCAGATTCTGAGCCTGCGGACCCAGCTTCAAGGTCGTCGTCTTCGTCGTGTTCGCTGTCGCTTTCGCCTATGCTCGGTGGTCGTTCGTCATCTGTTACAGAAGCCTCGCTGTCTTCCTCGCCAGATGAAGGCGCTGCTATCCTTGCGCTGAAGATGTCGTACGGATCACCCTCCTCAGCGCTACCATGCAACATATCTACATCTTCCTTGTCCACAGCTTTCAATTGCTTCTTCTCCTTGCCATCATCCTTCGTCGAGACTTCCTTGGTAGCACCCCCACCTACCCCCAAAATACCCTTTAGATCGCCCACAACCTCATCAATCACCTTTCTAACCGCGTCCACCTTGTACAATCTCGCCCTCACATTCAACAGTTCTGTAGTAACCTCCCCTCCCTTCTCCAAGCCCTCGACATACTCCTTCAGCGCCTCCGCCTCCCTCAAACTCTTCACCTTGCTCACTGTCCGCCGCAAATGCTGGTCCGCAAGCTTCTCCATGTCCAAGCCCTTGAGCGTCGCATATTCGGCTTCGAGGCGCTCGAGCGCTTTGGTGTCCTTTTTGGCAACAGCTGTTTTCTTACGCCGACTGTGCTTTTGGCGCTCGAAGCCCGCGCCGAGGCGGAGGGCGGCGATGAGAGGTTTTTGCGCGGCGGTGAGGCGTGCGGTGCAGAGGTTCTTTTGACGGGTAAGGGGGTCTGTGGCGCGCGATTGGGCGGGGGCCGGGGACGAGCGCTTGCGTTTTGGCATAACTGAGTGTTGTTATAGGGGAGCAAGGAAAGGTACGATAGAATTGGTTGGTGGAGAGGTTTTGGTGTTTGGCGTGTTGGCGTTGACGGATGTTGGGATAAAAAAAAACGGTAATCGATACCGGTAAGTCGGCGGGAAGCCTCGGCTAGACTTGGCGTTTGCGTTTGTACCTGAATCTAGGTACCGTAAGTATATATACGATAAACTACTCTGCGGCATAGTTACCATTATTGAAAGTAGTATGCTGGTATTCACCTGGCCTAAGGTGTTGAGTAAACATTCGTCCATCGTGCTCCTTCTACCAATGCTTCCTCTCGCGCTTGGATAATCAGCTTGCAAGAATGTGGACGCGTGTGTTATTTACCCACCAGCAACCCAATTTGACATGACGGTACATATTATCATTGCTGATTATCTGATACAACAAAATGGAGGTATGGCAAAGTGAGCTTTGATCATTGTCGTTGTGAGTAAAGAGGAGGTTGCGATGTGAACAGGCGAGGCAGAATTCAGCCTTCCAAATCACTCCACAACCTTTCAACAATCAGAAAACACTCGGAGATGAAGGGGCATGAATGTTGGCTCCCAATCGCGGTTGACTTGCGAGTGCTTCGTGCGGCTTCAGCGTAGCCATATCGTGTTGAGACCTCATACAACTTGAGAGGGCGCAACCCAGCAAGTTCACATATGGCTTACCATGCAAGTATCATACCATAGAAGTGCTAGTAGATGGGTAAGTACCTACTAGTAACAGGTCTACGGCGCATAAACGCACGTAGATATTCAGAGCTGGTAGGTATCAATGAGGGAGGACTGGACCCATCTCCCCCCCCCCCCCCCTTTTTTTTCCAATCCATATTCTCACCATTCCACCTGTGGCTCAACCCCTTCAAAAAATGCCTCCCCCTTTCCCTCTCCCCACCAACCTCAGCGCCGCAACAACCGCAACACAGCCACCCAACCGGGCTGTGCATTCGCAAGCCATTGAGGCGCAGCCCTAGATCATCGCTAAGCTTTGCCAAGAAAGCTTACGCAGCATCTCGCGCTGCGAATCGCGCAAAGCGGTGCGGAGCCGGTGCGGGCCGAATGGTGGGGCTGCCTGTCTGTCTTTAACCTTTTGTTTGTGAGGGTTGCGGTGTCGTGGCTCTGTCGAGGGTGACGTCGCAGGTGAGATGACGTAGCATATGTACTGTGAATGCTATGATTCCGCGATGCGCCGGGGGGATTGGGACACTTGCTACGTGAAGTTGTCTGTTTCGGTGGTGTTGGAGGTGTAAATGCGAGGGAGATTGTAGTAAGCTGCATGAGTGATTTGTGATTTGAGTTTTTCTTCGAGGGGCTTCCTAGCATCGCTTTGAGCCGACTACCTACCGTACTCTGACATTAGCTGCAGTTGTGATCATCGCCTCCAACGAGCAAGATGTCTGTCTGGAACCAAGTCGGCGCAGTGGCCATGTGGGAATGAGGGAGTTGGGGAGGGGGGAATAAATACCGCAGGACTGCTCTGCGAAGAACATCCTCCTCCTCCACAAATCACCAATTCTTCCTCATACAATCTCGCAAGTTTCCTTCCCTCACACATACCCAACTCCACACAAGCCCCACACCATGGGTTTCCTTAAAGACCTTGTCTCAGAATTCACGCACTCGGGCCAATCGCAGGGCCAGCAGGGCCAACAATCTCAGAACCAATACAACGGCGCCGGCCAGCAGTACGGTGGTGCCAGTCAACAGCCATATCCCAGCGCTCCACAAAATTCATCCCAGGGCCCTCCTCCTGTCTCCCCACCCTGGATCGCGGAGTGGGATGCTCGTGATAATCGCTGGCTGTTTGTGAATCAGCAGTCTGGCGAGCGTACTTTTACCTATCCTGGGCCAGGCTATGCGCAGCAACAGGGTGGCTATGGGAATCCTTCGGGCGGGTATAATGAACATCAAGGCCAGGAGCAAAACAAGCAGGGAGGTAATGGGTGGAAGTATGCAGCTGCGGGTGTGGCGGGTGTTGCTGGGGGTGCCTTGTTGATGCATGAGGGAGAAGAGATGAGTAGGTTTTGAGCATGATCCCCATCTCTTTAGCCGCATTGTATTCATGGAATACATTAAACTGGCAGCGGGAATCCAGTACTGACAAAACAACCACAGAAGACGATTTCGAACAAGACAAATACCGCGTCGAGAACCGCGTCGACGAATTCGGCAACCAAATTTCCAGTCTCCCAGAGAACGCTGCAGGATGGACAGGCGAGCAAGTTGGGCGCGCAGAAAACTTCGAGGACCGTGTAGACCAGCGCTTCGACAATGCCGTCAACGACGTGGAAAACTTTCCTGAAAATGCCGCCGGCTGGACGGGCGAACAGGTCGGGCGCGCCGAGAACTTTGAAGACCGTGTGGATCAGCGCTTCGACGATGCTGTGGATGATGTTGAGAATCTGCCTGAGAATGCGGCGCGCTGGACGGGCGAGAAGGTGCAGGAGGTCGAGGATATACCGCAGGATATTGAGAATCGGTGGGATGATGCTGTTGGTGATGTCGAGAGGTTTGATGATCGTATGGATAATGCGTATGATGAGGGGAGGGATGAGCAGAGGTACGATGATGACTATTAGGATGATTTCGAGGAGGGGGGTGGGCTGTGGAATTGAAGTGGAACTGAAGGGCTGAATGTGGTATGGGAAGGGATCGATATCCTATAGTCCTGGACGATATCCGTAAATCATACCGGTATGCTTTGGACATGTATTCAATTCTTTGTTTTTACATACCGATTTTCCAAATCCTACACATGAATGCCCGAGAACTGGGCTTTTCTTCTCAGTAGTAGATAATCAGCCTCTTCCATGCTATCCTCATTCCCCGCAGCAAGTCTCAAGAACAGGAGCTCATCAAACCCACATCCCATACACACATGACCACCTCTTCCCAACCTCCCAATCCCGTAACCAACGACGCAAGTAATCAAGCAACAACCCACCCTATCATCCCCACTACTGACATACATCAGTACACCCCCAACATAAAGATACCCAGACACAACTACCCTGCATCGATGTGATTTGCAACCCACCTCTTCCGCCCCGCTGCATTGATTAACTCGTTGCCCAGCAATGTGTTGATGCCTTCAGTGCGCCCCCATCTTGTCGTCCTTATTGCGAGAAGATTGCTTGGATATGCGGACCTAGAATAATTGGGCGGACAGGAATTGCAGGGATCTTTGTGCGGATGGATGTTTGATTGTAGATCGATGATGGGTTGGGGGCGGGGGTGTGCTTGTGGATTTGGATATGAATGTGGGCAATTGGGATGTGGATGCGTTACTGGGGTTATCTGGTGTGGAGGTGTGGTGGAGATGTAACTTGGTAGGCTTTGTGTATATCTGATATATTGTTTCATTGAGAATTCATGCCATTTTTGACCGTCACGTCGAAGTTTGACTCGTCTCTCGCTGGTATATACTCATGCCCGCACTGCTGGTGAATATAGTACATACATTTCGTCTTGATGGACTAATAGACTGACATTTGGGTCTGCCGCTGTAGAACCATGCCTCTACTCCTGATACTCGTGCAGTGGTTCCAAGTCAATTCACATTGGGTTTCGAGAGTTTACCAATGTGATGCATCACATGAATTTATCGTGGTGGAGCACTTTCGTCGTCTTGATCTCGGGCCCTTTCTTGATATCACGTCTGATTCCCAGCATCTCCATGTCTTTATGATTCCTGGCTCAGTCCCAAATCACACGTTCTCTATCAATGCTGGCTCACTCCTGAATCACATGGTTTCCCTCCCGATGAGATTTTCGTAGATATGCTGCCCACGCTGTTTCAGTGTTTACTAGATCTCCCGTTTGCAGGCTCTCGTCCCATGTGCGTGCCTTCCGCCATTTCGAGCGTCGACTTCGTTCTTGCCTCTTTTTTCATGTGTGTGTCTTCCTCTTTCATGTGCGTGCCTTCCACTTCCAGTGTCCACGACGCTCCTGCCTCTTTCCATGTGCGTGCCTTCTGCCACTCTCAGTGTCCACGTCGTTCCTGCCTCTTTCCACCTCGACGGCCGTTTACACACTCGTTGCCCGGGAAGCTGCCTCCCATCGCGGCTGCCCAGCGCAATACAAAACCCCGTCTACGCCCACCACATCTCTTGCTCCTCACTTTTGGCCTACACACACTTTTGCACTCTCACACTGCAATCACACTTTGTATACCCAAATATCACCTGCTCCATCTCGCTTCATATCAATGGCTCGACTTGCAGCACCCCCCACTTCCTCCTCTTCGTTGGCCCATTGCTCGCCACTCAAGATTCCAGCTATCATGCTGATGCCGATCAAGTCGGTTTCTTCAACTTCCACTCCGGTCTGCCGGAAGCTCTCAATGCTTCCCAGACCTGTACTGCACCAGGCAGCGACCAAGTCCCAGATTGTGCGCAAGCCGACTGGGCACCAGCTGGCTTCGCTGGCTTCCTCATCTTCCAAGATTCCGGTCTACTCGAAGCAGTCCATGCTCCCGAGACCTGTACTGCACCAGGCAGCGAAAAAGACCCAGATCGCGCGCAAGTCGACTGGGCACCAGTTGGCTTCGCCAGCTTCTTCCATCTCCGCCGTCATCCTCCCCTCTCCCCGTCCCGACCGCGGCCTTACCAGACTGCCCACTCTGGTCTGGCCTTTGACCAAGCCAAGTAAGTCGACTCATTGCCCCCATGACCAACTCTTCAGCTAACATGATTGCCAGTCGAGGCTGCTCGTTCGCCCGTCGCTGCTCCAGTCAAGTCCTCAGCGTCGCGGATCCCCAGGCGCCCCATAGTCAAGATTGCCCGCCGAAAAGTCGTTGCCCTCGTCAAACCTCCAACGACTTCGTATCACAAGCGTGGCAGTAAGGGTAAGTACCTTCCACATGATTGGAGTGAATCGGTGCTAACTTGATGTAGTCTCCTGGAAGCCAAAGGCTCGAGTGACAGCCAAGAAAGGTCCCAAGGTGGTCGAGGCCCCTAGCAAGTCTAAGGCGGCCGCCTTCCTCAAGCGTGGCACAGGAGGTAAGCTTCTTTCCGATTCAATGTGTGATATGTTTTTAACAGCTGCCAGCTGCCAGGTATGCCGCTGCCCCAGTCAAGCCTACAGCGGCACCCGTCCCCAAACGTGCGAGAGCTGCGCCCGTCAATCCCACTGCAGCTGCTCCCTCCACGGCCCCCATCGTCCCATCAGTCTCTGGTCCCAAGTCCGCTATGCGTCAGCGCGACACCGTCCGCCCCACCAAGACTGTACAGTTCATGGAAGGTCCTTTCAACACCAGGGTCTACAGCATGGAAGACTCTGTAGAGCAGCTTTGCGAAGTCTTCGACTCTCCATATGACCTTCCTGAATGGTGGCCGCTCACGAACGCGATATTCAAGTGCCCCATTACGCGCGGCCCCAAGGGTACGAAGGGGATGTTCCAGCACACGGGGTACGGGCCCATGACACTCCAGCCTCATTTTCTTCAACGCTACGCTGCCGTCCAACGCGCTGAACAGCTACAATCCCAGGCGGGTGAGCGCCTCGGCCAACTCGAATATGGCAACACCGACTTCAAGATCGCTCTCCAGGCGAACGGTGTTATCCAGTACGAGGACATCGGCACCGTTATGAATGCCGTTGATTTCAGCCCGAGCGCGCCCGCCAGTATGGGGCGCATTGTAGTCTTCGGCCGCTTCCCAGGATCCTTTCAAGATGTGGCCATTCCTTCCGAGATGGTCAAGCCTGGGCAATAGACAGAGGCCAAGCGCTGAAGTGGAGTGAAGGTTTGAGGGGTTCGACAGTCATGTCGTTGGCATGGTACCTGGTCTCATGATGGACATGATACAACAATCCGGTAATGTAGTATTCCTCCCCGTTGGCGTACAGATAACGAGCCACTCTAGGTTTTCACCGACAATTCAAAAACAAAGCGAGGCGTCCTTGTCGACAGGGCGGGGTATGTGGTGGGACCTCGCTTTCCCAACGAGCTCTTTCCTTCGTTGCAAAAAGATAAGTCCACATATGATGCTTGACGATAGCAAACTGACTCGGAAGCAGGAAGGTTTCGGGAAGCCTCGTGCGGCAACGGCGGTGATGGATATGGTGTGGCAGCGCGGTGGTAATGGACTGGTGTGGTTGGGGTGATAATGGCACCGTTGTATGGTGTGGCAGCGCGTCCCTTCGTGCTCATGGTAAATCTTGTATATCCAGCGTGTCATTCGATCAATAATAGATAGCAGCATCAATGTCCTCATGTCCGTCGACGGTCTTATCTATAGAACCAAGTCCAGACTGCAGACAAGGGGAGGTTACCTACTAGCGCTCCCCCACAACCCCGCCTAAGCCCAGCTGGTCCAACACTCCGGATTCACACACTACCTAGGCGTCTCCAACTTCGCCAACCTTGTCAACACCCACCCGGAGTCCATTGACACCAACCATCCTTGTACTCTGGCCATCCATGCTTGCGGCGTGCACATGTTCCAACCTCCACACACCATTGTCTCTTACCGAACCGCGCTCGGTCGGCAATCAAGCTCCATTCGCACTCCAAGATCCGTACCAAGCCCACGTGCCGACAGCAATGACAAGCCCGGTATCCAGGTTCGTCATCCCCGGGGATCTGCACAGGTTCGGCGGAGGGTGCACGTGAAGCGTTGATTGGACACTCGTTATCAAGTACGGCAGCGCGCCAGGGCAGAAGAGGCATGTGCCAAGGTCCGTTGGTAGCTACCGGTACCGCGACCAGAGCCAAGACCGAATTGGCTAAACCGGCGGAGAGCACCGCAAAGAAAACGGCCATGCAGGACGGAGCTACATAAGGATGCTGCAGCCGCGCGGGTGAGGGAAAAATGAAGGCGTCTGCTGCGTTGTTGTATCGTCATTGTATCGTGACTTCTGCTGCGAGCTCCAGAGATTCTGTACTGTGGAGTTGGGATTCTGGGCATCTGGTATCTGTGGGCACAGTACCGGTACCGGTAGAGATCAGCGATAATGAAGTTCCCTACATGGTCATTGGCCCTTTCGGCGCTGACGGTGGGCGTGGCCGCCGAGGATGCTTTGTACAGTCGGCGATTGGCGAAGAGAGGTTTGGATGCTGAGGGAAACTTTAACATCTGTGAGTGCCTAATGAGGGTTTATTTCCCAGCTGTTGACTGGGACCATCACTCACGTGACAAGCCTTCTTCCATGTCAATGATGTCCACGCCCATCTCGATGAATTCAGCTCTTCGGGGACCGACTGCACACGTCCTGAGCGCGGCTGCTATGGTGGTTACGCCCGGATCAAAACCGTAATCGAAGAGAATCGCCCGAATTACAATGACAGCCTCTGGCTCAATGTCGGCGACGAATTCCAAGGCACCCTATTCTACTCCTTCTATGGGGGCGAGAAAATCGCAGAGACGCTCAATCAGCTCAACTTTTCGGCCATGACGCTCGGCAACCATGAGTTCGATGCTGGTGATGAGCAGTTGGGACAATTCTTGGAGAACCTGACGTTCCCCATCATCAGCGCCAATGTGCACAGCGAAAATGAAAAGGTCAATAGGAGCGTGAAGCCATACCACATCTTTCAACAATATGGGTTGGCACTTATCGGTGTTACAACGGATGAGACACCCAGTATCAGTAACCCGGACGAGTCTACCACATTTTCCAATGTAGTCGAGGTATGTACAGATTCAAGCCTCCCCATCGACATAACAGCTAATAAATATCGCCCAGTCCGTACAAGGAGCCATTGACGAAATCAAAGCCACCACCAACATCACCCGTATCGCAGCCATCACGCACATTGGCTACGAAAAGGACCAGGAGCTCGCCGAAGCCACGACCGGCCTCCAACTCATCATGGGTGGGCACTCACACACTCTGCTCGGCGACATGGAAGACGCAGAAGGCAAGTACCCCACCATCGTCGAGAATAAAGGCGGAGACGAAGTCTTCATCGTAACCGCCTATCGCTGGGGCGAATACGTTGGCTACATTGACGTGACCTACGATCCCTCTGGTAAAATCCTCGCCTACCATGGCGCACCCATCCACGTCACCAACACCACCGAGCAGGATGCAGACCTGCAACGCCAAATCGAGGAATGGCGCGGTCCCTTTGAAGAATTCGCCGCCGAAGTCCTGGGAACAAGCAACGTCCCGCTCGACCAATCTTCCTGCCAGCGTCAAGAATGCCTCCTCGGCGACTTCATGGCCGACGCCATGCTCGCCTACCGCAGAAACAATAGCCAAGACGTCGACTTCGCCCTCATCAACGCCGGCGGCATCCGCGCCACCATCGACAGCGGCGACATTACCCGCGGCGAAGTCCTCACCTCCTTCCCCTTTGGAAACGCCATCGTCGAAATTGCCGTCAACGGATCCTACCTCTGGTCGGTCCTCGAGGGCATCGTCACCGGCGTCAACCTCTTCAACAACGAAGAAGTCACTTCCTTTCTCCAAGTCAGCTCTGGCATCAAAATCGAATACAACCCCGAAAACGCCAACGGCACCCGTCTCATCGCCGTCACCATTGGCGACGAGCCCCTGCGCAACGAAACCACGTATCAAGTTGTCACTCTGGATTTCATCGCCGGCGGCGGCGACAACTTCTTCCTGCCAACAACTGACTTTGCTACCCTGGATACCCAGGATGAGGTGCTGACGGCATATATCCTCGCCCAGAGCCCCGTCGACATCCAACTCGATGGCAGGATTGCGCAGGTGGATAGGCAGAGGGAGGGGGTGCCGGGTGCTAGCAATGGTACTACCAATGGCACGAGCGATGCATCAGGACCAGTGCCGACGCAGGCATCGGGTGCGGCGCCTCGTTTGGGTGCGAGTGCGGGATCCCTTGGGGCTGTGCTTGTTGCGGGGTTGTTGGGTTTGATGCTGCTGTGATAGGAGGGGATTGAATGTACTGTATATAGCAATTTTCATGGTTTCTGCAATGAATTCTATTTAATGTCTTTTAGGTGGGTGCGTTGTAACAAGAGAAGCACAAAGACGAGCACGTTGATAAGGGTCGATTACTGCCTGGATCATTTTTTGAACCGAAGCAATGTGACCCAGTTGGACAAGTAGGTTCTTCCAAGCATGCTGGGGAGACGCCATAGAAACAGCGTGTGATGAAGCTGCAAAAGATGAAGAATTGTCGCGTGACGGAGAAGGCACTGAGCAATTCTTCCTCGATGAGTTCCGCATCAATAGCAGAGACACTGGCAACGCTATCAAAACTGTCAAAGCCATCACGAACCAGACTTTGAAGCACCAAGACCTCCTCACTCAAGTCGCAAAAAAGCCTCCTACGGCCCTAGCTCTAGTCCCAGTTCAAGCTGTCGTTCTTAACGAAGATGTAGTCAGACATGCAACCGACACCCATGTGCAAGCTGCGCTCAGCTTTCAGTACCAGACAATGCGTTTTTGGGTCCAGCAGACACACGGCCAACATCTCTTGCAATTGTCCACCGCGCCGTTGAGAAACTACTTCGACCCAAACGGCGGTTTGCGTAAGTATCGCGTGCCACTTTCCGTCGACAAAGCCCGCGCAGTACTCGAGGTACACGAAGTGCGCTACCTGTACATGCTCGGTGAGTGTCGTTTCGAGTCACGACTGCGCTACAAAAACCAAGGTGCTCGAATCCCGATGCCGGCATTCTACAGCTCCATGAAGAGTATCTCTGCGGCTTATCTTCAATCGAGTATCCAGCGAGTTCACAACGCCTTTTCATCCGCTCACAGGCAAGCTACTTACCTGGCAGCAGTGTCGCGAGGAGGCTCCGCTGACTTCTCCCGTCTACATCTTCGATAAACCGCACAACCGCTTGCAACAAGCTAGGAGGAGACATTTTCCAAGCACATTGAGGAAGCAGAGCGCGCATGATGAGCATCCGGTCGCATGGACGGTGTGGAAGATAGAAGCGTCCACACAGACCACATCCCAACCCCAACCACAAACCACACGTGGAATCCACACCACAACATCGTCTTCGACGCCGCCACTAACACCACCCCCACCTCCTTCTGCAAAACCATACCGTGCAAAACCCCCCTCCAAGACCACGCCTGCCTCCTCGACGAAACCCGCCCATGGTCCCACGCCCCCGATTCTCGACGCCAACAACCACCCACATATCCGCCTCGACCAGGCATGAAAATACCTTTGCACGCACGCTCGCACCGCCCTAACCTAGTCCTGGGACCAACTCCACGCCAGCGATCGCCTGCAACAAACTCGTCTTGTTCCTGCGCGAGCGCGCGCAGACGATGGAAGTCTGTCTGAAGACGTGTTCGCGCGACAATGTGGTGCGGGTGTAAATTCAACAATGCAGGTACGCTGGACTGGAGTTGGAGGCGTGTTTGGAGACGTGGTGGGCTGGGTTTGGCAAGGTAGCTGTGTCGCTGGGTTTGGGGGAGGCGATTGCTGGGTTTGGGAAGGTGATGGTACGGGCGGAGGGGTTTGCGGGCGAGGAGGATAGGTGTGGGAGTTTGGGAGGGGGGGAGGGGGATGGGAATGGGAATGGGAACGAGAGTGAGAATGAGAGTGGTGCGGGAGATGAAGCAAGAAGGTATGACAAGGGAAAAGAAAGGGCGGCGGTCACAACAACCCCATGCCTAACCACCCCACCGCCAACCACCCTTATCCACCATCTCTCAAGACACATCAGCAGGGACCCAAGCGAATCCGCATCGCAGTACCGCTAGATATGTCCCAGCGTCGGTCGAAGCAGGAAATGCGCGCCAAAGGTTTCAAAGGGGCTTTTCACATTTCACTCGCTGAATCGCGTAAGTTGCCAAAGGAAGATCAATGTTTGATGCACGGACATGACTTGTTTGATGCATGGATATACCTTGTGTGCACATGACATATGAAACATGCAAAGATGAGGCCAGAGTAAGCGTATCGTACCATCGTGACTGTGTGCGATATGGGATGACGCGGCGAAGCGAATTACAGCAATCGCAGACACTGTATAAAAAAAATATCCTACATGGGGCCTTGAGGTAGGTAAAGTCAAGGGATGAGACAAAGCTTTCCCGTCGATAGACCTTCTTTTTTCGTCGGTTAATTTTCGTTAGCTCGGACGAACACTTCTTATAGTTTCGCCATATGATACATTTAGTAATATTCTTGATAGCCAAGCTATTCATGCATGCATAGGATACAGTGTACTATCGTAACCTGAGAAGAAAAGGGCCGCATACTAATAGAGAATAGTGGAGATATAAATTGCAAGTTGCTCAGATACTCGTGATTTATGTTCAGTCACCCCATATAACATCCTCTCCACGTATGAGAGAGTTGGCTTCTTCTAAGCCATAGCGCATGGTCGCTGCTTATCCGGAATTGCCGGGACTAGGTACAATGCCTCTCACGGACAAGGAGGGTGCTGCATCACAAGGCTGATATTTACTATTACTCCTTTAGGCTACTCGCAAAGATTGCAGTTGCTAGCAGTAGGTTTTAGGATAGATATAAAAGCATTGCCCTCCTTTAAAGACTTAAAAAGGACCAGCATTATTTGCAACTTCATTGCTTATCCAGCCATTTGCAACTCTATTACATATCTAACCTCGTACTCTCCGTTATGAAGCTTAATTTTGTTACTGCTTTTGCTACTACAGCTGTAGCAGTAGCAGCAGGATCTCGAATGTGGTGCAGCGATGTGGAGGTTGATAAAAATACACTGCCAGACAGAACTGGCTGTCGGGTATTGCTCCATCTCTGATAACACTTATCGAGTACTAACAGAATCAGTACAAATTGGATAAAATATACTGTGTATGTTAATTCAACAATTATAGCGTACTACTAGAGTAAATGTTCTAAACTCTAGCTTAGTGCAATAGTGAAGCTGTCGGCCGACAAGATGCAACACCTATATGGCGAGGGGATTGCTACAACGCCCTCACGGGATTTACGGACGAAATCTACGAGCGAGACTGCCCGAACGGTGTAAGTTCCCAACTACATATTTTCTAGGTGTTACAACTATATGCTAACTGTTTTATTCAGAAAGATATCAGCCAACTATGCGTAAGATCTTCTTTCTTAAGCTTGATGTTTCGTACTAAATCTAGAACAGTGCAGACCATAGCCAAAACCATGAAGGACCGAGCGATTCTTTCTGTGGAGAGAAGAGGAATCAAGGGATAGGAAAGCAGTATGAGGCAGCTGAACAACGCTCACGCTCAAGGCAGGATATCAGAACGAAAGTGTGAAGGACATAGTGCGACCCGAGCGGCGGTTAGCAAAATATACTCGTTTAAAGAAGGCCGCATGACTGTTCATTAATATAGTGAATGACTGGCTACTGTTGCGTACGATTCACCTCTGACCACCTTGAATTGACTACTTGCTTCATCGCCGGCACGCTCTACTTAAGTAATGATGGCTCAGTAAAAATGCCACCAGAAAGCGGCAGCGTATCCGGCAGCCCCGCTCTTCCAACGGTCTGCTCGTGCACTGGTATGGTACAGGTCACCAAACAATACCAAAGTGAGACCTCATATACAATAACTATGATCCTCCAACTAAGCCTCGTTCTCGATAGTTATGTGTTGCAGGAGGGATAACAACCGGATCACGGAGCATCTTGATCCGATCAATCCCGATCAATCCTGGTCAATACCCCTGTATGACCCACTATCTGATCGACTGTCAGCTTACTGCCAAGTGCCCAACAAAAAGCAGGAGCTCTAGTAAGGAAGGTTTACTAATTATACACCTTCTGGTAAGGGTAGCTGAAGCTCTATATATATGAGTCCGATCGTAGTAGATACAATCCAATAATCCATCTCCCAAATCATTCCTGACCTCAGTGATCCAAATTTCCACATTATGGTTTTTTGATAATACTTCCAAGTCATTTCTACAGACTAAGCTCAATGGATAGATGAATACAATGTAGTCTATCGTGGTGCTATTGCATCAAACGCCCCTTACTTTAGACCTGACCGAAGTTTTAATACAGTCATGGTCTTGGTCATTGAGAAAGGATTCCGATATTGCTATCTCATCTGATATTGTATAGTTGAGAGTTTGAAAGAGATGTTTTGGCGCCCCACAGTCTATTGCTTTTTAAGATATAAATCTAATTAGATGCATTGATTTTAATCTGTGGCTCGCCGCTAGATCTTCTTCTCCAGGGTGCACACAGTATTACGGCCAACATCGTACCTCTGAATCAATATTAGCATATCCATTTTACACATTGAATCAATAAAACTTAACGCAGGCATTCAATTGAACAAATCGATGAACTGACTCCTCAAATTGACCCAAAGATTGTGTGCCCCAAACCGATTCATCAAGCCAAACTACAAGGAGTTCGAGATGAAGTTGACGTAGCCCCAGGTTTGGATAGAGTCTTTGTCACATAACCTACTTGAATGACCGGGCATGCAAAATCGGTCACGTGACAGACTGATGTTAGCATTCGTCATGTGATGTTACTTGATCTGCGCTCATGTCAAAATGGTGTCTTATGCTGTAGTAAAGCAGTGTTCAAGGCCAATCGCAGAACTGGTCCGTCTTGCAATTCGTAGATGCTCCTCTCTGGGTTTTGGCTCGTACTTACTATTTGGCCGTAGTTTTCGCCGTCGGAATCGCAGGCAGACTTGCTCTTCTTGGTGGCCAAGCCTATCAAACCTACTGTCTTTGAAGAGGAAACGGGCCGCTACCAGTACAATAATCAACTTGAAGCCAATGTTCCGGCCATGACTCTTTGGAAAGATCCACACCGTGGTTTAGCCACCGCCCGGCAGTCTATTAGACACACAGTAGATGTACAAATACCCCCCCATATCGAGGCTAACGCACCTTCTTTATTTGCCACTCTTGAACTCTTCTATACATTTAAACTACCACACCATACTACTTCATCTAGCTACAATAATGAAGCTTACTCTCGTTACAGCTGTCTTAGTTCAGGCTGTGGCAATATCAGCGGACGTAGAGTACTGCAGCAGCTCTGCGTTTACCCTGCCGTCTAATTATAAGTGCAGCGTACGAATTGGTCTTTGAAGACATTTAGTAAACGCTAATAAAGAGTATCATAGAACCGAGAGGGGCGTACAGGGACATACTGTGTATGTTAAATCTACAATATCAATTCAACTCCATTATAACCTGATGCTAAACTCTAGCCATAGTGCCATTTCGCTGCAGGCGGTCCGTACGTTGATGAAAAGCTATGCGCGCACCCTCTGGACAAGAATGATGAGCAGGTCAGCATGAGTTGCATCGACTCAAAAGGCGTAAGTTCACACCATGGTAGATTCAACATTGCACGATTGTGCTAACTGTTCCATTTAGCTTATACTTTGCGTAAGATGCTTTCGCCTTTCAAACCCAAGTAATTCTACTAAATTTCCGACAGTGCCTGGAACAGTAAGCAACGCTCAACCTAAATGAGATGGCAGATGTGATCACTAGATAGCGGACTCTGAGAGAGCGCCGCAAAATCAAAAAATACGCTCCTTGACTGCATCATCGTGCGCTCCTTGCCTTGAATGCGACCAAAGCTCTCCGCTATGACCAGCCCCTTGGCCATTTGAAACAGATTACTGAACCTCCTGGTTTGATGTAGCTGAGTTCTGGGATCCACGAGCGCCCAGCACAATGTACAGGGTATGTACTTTTGATGGAGTGGCCTAGCCCTTCATATCTACTCTTGAACCATATATGTGCTGCATGTACATGTTGCAAATAACATTTGTCCTCGTATCTTGAGGGCAAAAGGGCCGCGCGGGAAAAGACAAGGCCGAGATTTTGGCCGTGACGCTGGTCCATGATCCACACCAAGGTTTCAGATACTATGGTATAAGAATGCCATCCTCCTCACGACCGAAGAAGTCCAGCTCAACATTTGAATTCTTCCACGCGTTCAGCCTACTATTCTAGCGAGGTCTAACCACGAAATGTACTCCTGTTACCGCATTGTTAGCTCCAACAGCAGCTGCTGTTGATTGCGGCGTCGAGGGCTGATCTTGTAGATAATTATTGTGGTGCGGTATGAATTGCTCCCCGAGAAATACTTATCAAGTATTCACGTTCCGTCAGGGAGGTATGCTTTTCCAATTTGGTGAAGCCGTTGGCCGGGTAATACTGAAGGATTCACAATCACGAGCGGTGAAGAAGGAGGAGAAGGAAGGAGAGAATGAAGTCCTCAATTGTATCTGTGAACTCTTGTCTGTTATTTCTGTATCACCCATAGTGCTTACCTTATACCAAGGTGGTGACTGCCCACCACCATTGGCGACTCCCCTATCCCGGGTTGACTGGGAGACACCTATTTTAGGACTAGTGGGGATGTCTATATCTAGCCACCTTAGCTTCTTCCTCTATAGATTTCTTTAATTAATACTTTTATTATATTAGGTTATAAGCCTAGCTTATCTACTAGTATACTTAGCTTTATTTACTAGTACCTGCTTATATTAATCTCTTTATTAGCTTCTACTACTTTAGCTATATCTATTACTAACACTTACTATTATTATAGCTTCCTATTCTAACCTATTTAACGCGTCCCTACTACTATTACTAGCTCTACCTATAGCTTTATTAGAGGTACTACTATCTCTATATCTACTATTACTAGAGATAGATCCTCTCCTAGGACTATTAGTACTACCCCTAATACCTATTATATCTACTAAACCTACGTTTAACTTCTATCTAGACCCTTTTTTATTACCTAAACTAGGTTCCTAAAGTAAGAACTATCTAGAATAGTAGTTAGCCTAGACTATAGTATTTAGATATATAGGTATTTAGCCTATCCTTACTAGAAAGAAGCTAAGACTAATACTTCCTTCTAATATTAAGGACTAGGACAAGTAGGATAATAAGGCTTTAGTTATACTACTATTATTAGTTTATAATAACCTAATAATAAGCGTAGTAAGCTATAACACCTCTCTAGAAGCCTAGAAGTATCTTACTAACTACTTTAATAGGGACACAGGTAATATATTAATCTTACTCTTTTAGTTACTTATAAACCTCTACTATTATAATAGAGATAACCTTAGACTATACCTTAATAAATTCTACTAATACTAGATATATATAGCTAAATATTATATAATATCTATATAGCCTATTATAGTAGTAATACGTAATATATTTAACTTAGATTAGGTTAAAGGCTTATTCTTTCTTGCTACTCTACCTAAGATAATAGATAATATTATTAATAACTTATCTACTAGGAACGTAACTATGTTTAAAGATATTAAACCTAAGATCCTAGATATCTTAGAAAAGCACTTACTAGATATTACTAACTCCTTAGCTGCTTATATAGCTAGATAGATAGTATTTAGGTAACTAATAGCTAGCAACACTAAACTATTATTATCTAGTACCTCCACACTAGAATATACCTAGTGTTAGAAGCATAACCTATTATTTATTAGTTATATCTATCCTAATTATAAGCATCTTAAGAAGTATAAAGAGAACTAAGCAAAGGGAAAAGCTAGCACTATACTATAGTTATAGTTATTCTTATTATTAGGCTCTTAGAAGAAGTAGAAAGTAAACAATACTGCTACAATTAACCTAGATAAAGACTCTAATAGCTTAACTACTATTATTAGTTACTCTACTTACTATTATATTAACTTAATAACACTACTACTATTATTATTATTATTATACCTAGTGCTTAACTTAAATAGTAAATATACTAGATTAGTAAGTGTATTTATAGTAATCTATTAACCTACTACTATTAACCTACCTATATAGCTTTTTAATACTAGTGCCTCTAGGTATATATCTAGCTGCGCTAATAACTTCCTATCCTTAATACTAAAGATAGGCACTATTACTATAGCTAGCGGTATTAAGCTCCCTATACAAGGAATTAGCATAGTTTAACTTTACCTATAGCTCCCTAATAGCTTAACTAATATTATAGTACTAACTAACACACTCTATAGCGCTAAACTCTATAGCACCTACTTATTCTTATAGATATTTATTAGATATAAGGGGTTTAAGCTATTTACTAAAAAGGATAACCTATACCTTATTAGATATAGTTAATATATACTATAGGCAAGATATATATAAGGCCTTATATAGCTCTAGACTAAATAACTACTATTACTATTACTATCTACCTATATACTTATAAGCTTATCCTTTTCTAATTAAATATTAATAGCCCTAGCCTTAATAATAATAATAATAGAGGCAATAGTAATAGTAACAAAAGCGAAGGAGAAACACACACACAGAGGCAAAGGCTTTAGGACATACTAAGGGTTCTATAAAGCTATAGGACATCTATTAGTGCTAAACCTATCGCGTATCTATACTAATAGATATCTAGTGCTAGATAAACCTAAGGATTTTATATATACTATATATTAATAATTAAAGTTAGTATACTATATACTAATATAGGGGACACTACGCTATACCTAGCTACTTAAGCTTATTTATTCTAACCTCTTAAGAAAAATACCTACTTAAAGTATTAGTAGCTTATAGTATTATATCTCCTTTATTAATAACTACACTTAATATTTATAGATTTAGTTTCTTAAGCTTAAGGCTAACGCACCCTAAGCTATTAAGGATTTTATTACCTACGTAAACACCTAATTTTATAATAAGATAAGTAATAATATCCTATAATATTCTATTATTAAAATCTTCTACTCTAATAATAGTAGAGAGTATATTAGTTATAACCTTTAGAAATTTTTTAAAGCTAAAGGAATTAACTATAAGCTATTACTACCTTACTACTATAAGCTAAATAGCGTTCTAGAGTAATTTAACTACACCTTATTCTAGATTACTTAATATATAATACTATCTAATAATCTACTTTTCTTATAGGCTAAAGTAATAATATTAGTAAATTTTCTTAAGAATATTACGCTATATTCTTTAGACCTATTGCAACGTACCCTACACAAATAGCTCTTTAGGAAGAAGCTATCTATTTAGCACCTCTAACTATTTAGTATCTAAGGCTATATCTATATTCCTATAAAGGCCTAGAAGCTAGGCACTAAACTCCTACACTACTCTAAGAAAGGTATCTTTATTAGCTATAGTTATAGTACTAGGACAAGCTATCTCTATATACTATAATAAGCTATTATTATTAAATCCTAGGATATTACCTTTATCCTATAGGTTCCCTAAATATTTTAAACTATTTAAGACTAAGGAATTAAATATAGTCTATAATATTTAGATATAGAGCTTTAATATTTATAATAGTAGCCTAGGGAATTAGTTATAACGCTCCCTCCTATTAAAGTTCTTAATAATACTAAGCTAAGGGATATAAGTAACCTTCTATCTATACCTTAAACACCTACGCTTAAGTCTAGAGTAATAAACCTGCTATATAACCTCTTAAGTAGCCCTAACTATCTCTCTATATAAGTACTACCTAGGATAGGACTAGACTCCTCCTCTCTAGATACTTAAAATTTATAAATATCTACTCTAGCCTAGAAGAAACTACGCACAAAAGAGACACCTATATTAACGCCTATAGCTATAACTTGTATTAGAAGATAGATAAGAAAGCTAGAGTAATACTAGGGATCCTATACTATAATATAACTATTTACCTTTACTATAACTTATAAAGAGGATGCACTAGTATATATCTCTTTATTTTTAATAACTTTTTCTACTACTATAATATTATTAGACACTCCTAGGATATTTATAGAAGTAATAGATAATAATTATACTACCCTATAGTAGCTAGCTATTAATAAAGAAATTACTAATTATATAGAAAATAGTATATAGGAAGTTATACCCTATTATAAGATACCTCTAGGTATAAAGCTTATAGGCACTTAATAGGTCTTTAATACTAAGCAAGATAAATCTAGTAATATTATTAAGAGAAAAGTAAGACTTATAGTATAAGGATTTTTATAGTAACTAGGTTTTAACTATAATAATATATACTTACTAGTAGTTAGATATAATAGTCTATAAATCCTTCTAGTCCTTACTACTCTATATAGATAGTAAACGTAATAAGTAGACTTTAACGCTATATACCTAAATAGATATCTTAAGCATAGGATCTATTATTAACTGCTGCTAGGACTGCTATCTAATAGCGCACTATTCCTACTTAAGACTCTCTATAGTCTTAAGTAGTCTAGACATAAATAGTATACTATCCTGTCTAAATAGTTAAAGTCCTAGTATTTCTCCTAGGCTAACTTTAATTATTATATCTTTATCTTAAGTAATCTTATCCTTAGGATCTATATAGATAATATTCTTATAGTTAGTACTTAAGAATAGATTAACTTAATACTCTGTCTTATAAAGGCTTATTTCTACTTTTAAGACCTAGGATAACCACGTATAATACTAGGGCTTAAGATTAACTATTTTAATAATTATATAGAACTTTACTAATATACCTATATTATAGCTATCCTTTAATACTATAGTATAACTAACTATAATAGTTAACACACGCCTATTAACCCTAGCTTATTCCTACCTTATACACCTATAGATATACTAGTTAATATAGACTAATAGAAGAAGTTCTAATCTATTATTAGCTCCCTTAACTTTATAGTAGTTATAAGCAGACTAGATATAGTATATATAATTAGCCTACTTAGTTCCTATAATACTAATCTATTAGAAGGATATCTTAAGCTAGTATTCTAAGTGCTCTAGTATATCTACGCGATATTAGATTACTAACTAATAATTAGGATATAGCCTGCTAGATAACCTACTTAGATTATAATATATTTAGACGCTTTATATATATTAGACCTAGATAACTTAAAATTATTTTCTAGGTATATTCTTAAGGTTAATAGTTTAGTTATCTCTTAGTTATCTAAGTAATAAAGCTATATTACTTAAAGTATATATAAAGCAGAATATATAGCTGCCTTATATATAGTATTATATCTAGTCTAGGCTTAACGCGCTATTATAGAATTCCTGCTAGTTATACTATTATACTACCTACTTATTAATAATAAACTAGCTATTACACTTATTTAAGACTAGAAGTTAAACCTATAGTTAAAGTATATCTATATTTATTACTACTTTATAAGGGAATAATTTCTAGATAGTAACTTTAATATTAAGCATATCTAATCTAGTAATAATCTTATAGACTTATATATAAAAGCACTCCTATAGCCTATATTAGAGAAGCTTAATACTAGGATATTAAATATTATAGGTAAAGTGTAATATTTTTTATTTACTTAGGAGACTAGGGGATATAGTTTTTCTCTTATTTTCTTTATATATTTATAGTTACTATAGATTTAGGGGACTGTTATTTCTGTATTACCTATAGTGCTTACCTTATACTAAGGTGGTGACTGCCCACCACCATTGGCGACTCCCCTATCCCGGGTTGACTGGGAGACACCCATTTTGGGACTAGTGGGGATGTCTATATCTAGCCACCTTGGCTTCTTCCTCCATAGATTTCTTCAATCAATACTTTCATCACATCATTGTCATCGATCGATATGCCTGTTTTGCCCACTCTGTGCCTATTTAACCTCACTGCTGTTCCCTGAGTATTCATTCTCCACTAACGGCACGTGCCATGGTAGGTTATCAAAAGTATGGTATGTACGTATGTGAGATGGGTGGCTTAAATTCATGTCCTTGAAAAGGCCGACTGGGGATTCGGGGACGATCGATTGTATTTGTCCGATCAATGTATTTCATTAAGACTGTCCAATCAAATCACATCAAAATCCATGTTTTGAAAAAGCCGATTGAATCAAATGCTAATGTTACCCATCTTTTGACCTGATTCAATTATTCCCAAATTTGGATGCCGAAGTCCTCAGAGCTCAGGCTCATGGCAAGTTAGCGAAAGTGTAAATCTGGACAGCTCACCAGATTTGATCGATTTATTTGGATGGGAAAGATTTAATCGAACACGAATGCAACTAGATGGGCTGTATTTAGCGTAACTCTGTGATACGATCAGAAAAGTGTTATAAAGGCAATACCGAGAGGGTGAGTACTGGGCAGTGGTGATCAAGGCACCTGGCAATGTCATATTGTGGAGCTAAGGCACAAGCTTAGGTCTAGCCCTTACCAATGATCAGACTGTTCTGGTCAGTAACATGAATGCGCTATTCCTAGCCGCGATCAGGCTGACCCGAAGGCCCTTCTTTTGGCGGTCATCAGTAATGGTCTAATCCAACGGCTTGAACTAGAGAGTCCATTGGCGATACGTAGTTGTCAGCCCTGCTGATTGATACGTAGTTGTCAGCCCTGCTGATTGATACGTAGTTGTTAGCCCTGCTGATTCTTTCGTGTCAGCCACTACACTCAGAACCCGAAGGGACAGGGGCCGCGTCAGTCCATTGAGATAATGCCGAGGGTCTGGCCATTGGAATATCTGCCACTGCCAGCCTGCGATTAGTCTTTTAGGACGGATACAACGGTGCGGTCTTCGCACCTAGACAAAAGAAGTACCCGCGTTTAGTCAAACCTTTTCTATTCTTTCAGCCTTCCGTTTGGATCAGAAACCTTGAAGCTTATTCTTTTCATCGCTTTGCTAGCGCAGGCTCTGGCCCAGGTTAACTCAAAGCATTGCACTCATGTCAGATATGGTTCGATGGAAATTGTATGTGATCAAGACGTGCAAAGATTTTTTGTGTACATTGATTCAAAAATCGAGATTTGCCACGCCGAAGTGGGCTGCCGAAGTCAGATATAGTGCGGTGATGACCAAACCGCTCCTCAAGATACCTATCGAGGGACTGTAGAATTCCCCGGATGGAATACTCCGAAGAATACGAAAATACAAACTGTGACAGAGGTAGAGGTGTAAGGGTGTAAGTTCGTACCCACTACGACTGGCCTGGTCTTCTACGTGTCAAGATTGTGTACGAACTGTGCTATGTAGCTGGTCAGCTGCGTAAGAAGATCTCTCTTCAGAGGACTAGTTCATTTGACTAACCTATAGACAGTGCAAGTATCCTTAATGAGCGTAGAACTAGTGGACTAGGTCACAGGTGTTTAGGGGACAATTGGGCCAGGAATGAAATGATAGAGGGGCGAGGCGAGAACTGCGTGGCTGAGGCGACGCCACCAACGTGCAGGACAGCCTCGTTGGTTATCCGTCTGTCTAGAAGCAGAAGTTCAATCGCAAGCTCCTATATCCTAACCCAGAAGCCGCTTCCGCACGATCCAGGCCTTGTAAGATGAAGAATCAAACACCAGCTGGTTGCAAGTGCAACCAGCCATGTTACAATTTGCACGGTACTTGGATGGATGCAGCATGTCAGCAAACGACGTAGGTACTGGCAACTAGTGTATGTATTCACGCTCTGGAAAGAAAGGATGCTCATTTGATGGACCGTCCCACCATGGTCTGGCACCACTCTGTTCACCAGAACGTGTGTTGGCTATTTTGACGCACCCTTCCTCCTGGCTATGATTGGTCCCATGGGCTAACATTGCGGTGAGATTTAGCCATGGGAGGGTCGCAAACCTGGGCTGCGGGTGCATAGCCGTTGCGTAGGGCTATCAGCGCTGACACAAGCATCTCAACGGAAATATCTATGGCGCTTTGCCGAATGTAGGTCTCTTGGTCGCGCGGAGACGACATGATTACAACATGGCGCATGCGAAGGAGGGTCGTTACCGGTACCGCTAGTCACCATGGCTGTAGGTACACGGCACAGCTCACCCGCCATTTGCTCGACCGAGACAGTTTTCCATGCATCCTCGCCCATCTAGTTATCGTAGTCCGTACGAGTCTATAAGCAGGAGCAGACGATAGGATCCAGCACGGGAAACACGCAGTCTCTCTTCTCGCACGGGGACCATTGGTCAACTCGCACGGCTTATGTCATCCTTACCGTACCGGTACCGGTAACTCACCAGGCCATCTGTTGCCATCTTCGGTCGTCGCCGACACGAGCGTTGGAGCAGGTGAGTTACCGGTAGGAAAGTCGACGGTCAAGTCACTCACTCGTACCTACAACGCTGTGTTGGATAGGTACCGGTACCTGACCTGTCCCCTCCTCCCCTCGACGTCTCTCGACGCCGGCAGTGGTGCAATGGTAGGTACCGGTAAGAGGCATCGAGGGGGCAGCATGCAGAAACAAGAAAGTCGGTCAGGCGTTCTGCAGAAGAAACAGACCTGAAGCGACGGTTTGGGCCATTGCGCCCATGGCCCGCTGAGGCTGAACAGCATACCGGCACCGCTACCTACCGAGGAAATCCAGCTGGGCATCACAGCGTCTCCACGCTGCGTTGCCATTCGTTCCCGAGTCTCATGTGCAGCCAGCAACGCACGTTGGTTGCCGCCTTGATTCCGTATTCCTGCCCGCCCTTCTGCGAACTCGTCTGGTTGCATTGGCATCCCGACTTCTTGCCTACCGGTACCTACACCAGCCAGCAAGCTGATTCGACCCGGGACGAGAGGCGGGCTCTGGACCGCGACCAGCGGCTGTGCCGAGCAGTGCCCTCACCACATGCTCGTGTGTCTGACCGACCCCACTCTTCTGCTCACTCACCTCTCGCAAAGATAGCACTGCTCCGTCGTGAGCCTGTCGTGCTTCCTTTGGGGCTGAAAGTGCCATCAGAGGCATACCCAGATGTATAAATATACCGGTACCTCGAGCCCGCCATGGCTTCACCACGCACAACCCAGCGAAGCCAGCTCTCGAGGGCCCAGGCATCGTCCCAGAGCTAGCCATGGCATCCATTGGCACGCCTAACGACTTTGTCAACGTCGTCGCCCCTCCATCGGGTGCGCCCAGCATGATGCACGCCACACAGGCACCGCAATCGCGTCCGCGACCACCTGTGAGGAAGCGCGCCCCACAGCGGAACATTGACGAGTTCTGGAACAAATTCACAACGAAACATCCGGGCAAGATATTCACCATCCTGCCCGACAACCTCTACGCAAAGCGCGCAGCAGCACATGCCCCCAAGGGCTCGATACCTGGAGTCAATGCCCTTGCCTCTTACGAGGAGGCCAGAGAAGCGTGCACCAGAAAGGTGGCCAAGATTGTGCAAGAATGTCGCCGGTTAAACCAGAAATACCGCGACCCCCATTTCGACATCGAAGCCGACTTCAAGCGTTCGCAGGCAGATGGGAACATTCCTGCCGACTGTTTGGTGGGCTTGAGTGGGGAGAAGACCGAGTTCAAGCCTCTTTCCGTCAAAAGAGTAGAGGTGAGCGTCGACAATGTCCGGGCACGTGTGCAAGGCTAACCGCTGTGTTTACAGGACATCTTTCTCCAACCACAATTCTACATGGATGGCCCGAGTCCCAATGATATACGACAAGGTACGTGATGGGTGCAATCAAATCCCCCTACTGGTGCTGATGCTGTTCAAGGCAACGATGGTGATTGTTGGTTCATGTCAGCGCTCGCAACAATTAGCAACAAAGAAGACTTGATTCAACGCGTCTGTGTAGCGCGTGATGAAAGGGTCGGTGTATATGGCTTCGTTTTTCATAGAGGTAGATTTCCCCCCCAGCCATGACGCACGCTTCGTATTGACAATATGCAGATGGCGAATGGATCTCCGAAGTCATCGACGATAAGCTCTACCTTATCAAGGAAGACTTTGATGAGGCCAAGATCGAACGCTACCACTGGTTGGAACTCCAGAACCGCAAAAGTCCAGAGGAGGAATACCGCACTGTCATGCAGACGGGATCAAGAGCGTTATACTTCGCCCAGTGCAGTGACCCCAATGAGACGTGGTTGCCACTGTTGGAGAAGGCGTTTGCGAAAGCTCATGGTGATTATGCAGCCATCGATGGTGGTTTTGTCGGAGAGGGTATCGAAGATCTGACTGGCGGGGTTACGTCCGAAGTCTTCGCCACAGACATACTTGACAAGGACAAGTTCTGGAGGGAAGAACTAATGAATGTCAACAAAACTTTCCTTTTTGGCTGCGGCCAGATGGGCGGCATCTACGGCGCACGAAAAGGCATCCAGGAGAAACATGCTTACTCGGTCATGGAGGCTCGAGAAATTGACGGCGAGCGATTACTCAAGTTGCGCAACCCATGGGGCCGGACCGAATGGACTGGCCGCTGGAGCGACGGCTCCGAAGAGTGGACAGCCGAATGGATGCAGAAGCTAAACCACAAATTCGGCGACGATGGCGTATTCTGGATATCTTACGAAGACATGCTTCGAACCTACCAACACTTTGACCGTACCCGCCTCTTCGGCCCTGAATGGACTGTTTCACAACAGTGGACTAGCGTCAATGTCCCATGGAGCGTCGACTATCTTGATACCAAGTTTAAAATTAACCTGGCCAAAGACGGCCCAGTCGTGATCGTTTTGAGCCAGCTTGACGATCGGTACTACCAGGGCTTGGAAGGACAATACGAATTTCACCTACAGTTCCGCCTACACAAAGACGACGAGGAGGACTACATTGTGCGAAGCAATGGTACCTACTACATGAAGAGAAGTGTTTCTACTGAGCTTGATCTTGAGGCTGGCAACTACACTGTACTACTCAAAATCAAAGCGACAAGGGTGCCAGACAACCCTACTCCGGATGAAGTCATCCGAGCTACATGCACTACCCGTCGAGAAAAGCTACTCGCAATCGGACTCTCATACGATCTTGCTCATGCAAAAGGTCAGTTCCGTGAGCAAGAGAAGGACAAGGCACAACGCCGCAAGGGACAAAGAATCGAGCGCAAAAAAGCCGAATTGAAGCAAGCGCATGAGCGCCACCAGAGACTGCGGAGGAAGGCCGAGCTCCGGGAGCAGAAGAAGGCTGCGAAACAAACTCACAGACTGAATCGGCCCATTTCATTGAGAGAAGCTGAAGAGAAGTTGCGAGACCTCAGCGGCCTCGGAATCACTAGCGAAGAGGATATCCGTGCCTCTGCAGATGATGAGTCGAAGCCTGTACACCCAGCTGTCTCCAGACATCATCGTACATCAAGCATTGGGATGATGCGAGAACGATCATCAAGCCCAAGCGGTGCATTCTCCGGTCGTGGAGGCTACAATGCCCCGACATCCGGAGCCATGCCAACTCGCCAGGGCTCCTCCACTTCGGTCCACAATCAATCATTTGGAGGGCGAGGCGGGTATAATCAGAACCTGCCTGGGGAACTACATGGCCGTGGCGGATATAACCAGAACATGCCCGGAGAATTTTCAGGGCGCGATGGGTACAACGGACGAGACGGATATAATGGTCGCGATGGATACAATGGACGAGATGGATACAATGGACGAGATGGATACAATGGTCGCGATGGCTATAACGGACGAGATGGATACAACGGTCGCGATGGCTATAATGAGGGCCAAGTCACTGAATCTCCGGTTCCCACTCCCTTGGCAGAAGAGCATCGACCGGGCACACCATCTCAACGCACATATAGCCCACGACCGGAGAAGCGCTCCCCGGCGTCATCTCGCCGAGCCACACTAACACCAATTCCTGGTGTACGACCTGGCATTCAAGTACATCGAGGGCGGGGCAGCAGCATCCACTCCAACCGTGCTGGGCATGGCATGCCATATGCCGATGATATATCCGACTACTCATCGTGGGACTCAGAAATTGATGGACCATGCTCTCTGGACTCCGACATCTCTGACGACGAAGATAGTCCTCGCTACGCGGCCGAGGGCCAACCTAAATACGTGTGGTATAATGGTGCACGGTACCCCTACTTTGAAGAGGAAGATGAATTCGAGCGCGATCCCTGGAATGCCGTATGCGTCCTGGGTCTCCGCGTTTTCAGCAAAGACAACACAGATGTCACAATTGAGGTCCACAACAGCGAGGGCGAAGGTCGCACAAAGAACGACACCGACGATGCTAGTGTCGCTAGTATGGGCACTGTCCGCCGTAAGGAAAAGGAGCTAGATGTCGATGATAGTGCTGCAGATGCTACAAGCCCGATGCGCACCAGGAGCACGGCGCTCGATGATGAGTTGAAAAGCCGATCAAATGAGGAGGTGCTTGTTAGTCAAGTTGGGACTTTGCCGGCTGGTATGGAGAGGAGCAGACAGGGTACGCTTTCGGGTTGAATTTTCGGATCATCTAAATTGGGATGGGCAGGTTCGCAGGTTTCTCGGCAACGACGTACACTGAAATTTGACTTTCTGGGGGAGTATGGCGTTTTGGAATTCACACGGCTGCGTCCTCACACCTCAACTACATTACGTGTTTAAAATATCCCTCGTTGGGTTTCAACTTGGCAGTCGTTTATGAATAGATTGTTTGTTTTTAAAGCGGCATGCAAAGAAGCAACGAAGAATTGTGTCCTGCCAGACGAGGAACAATGGTAAATTCTGTGATACTGCGAAGCTCGCGATATTCACAAATCACGATAGACTGGCTTGAACAGTTACTATGATATATATATGCTAGCCAGCAATTACTGAACGATTCCAAAAATCGAAACCAGGGCACACAAGAAGCAAAACCCTGCAGTCAAGAAATGTTCTGCAAACACTTCTCCAGACACATCAGCATCGAAGCTTTCTCGCATCTCATTAAAATTCAGAGTCTGCGCCTGATGACGCATGTCCATGGCTATAATTCCGTAATGTCCCAGCTTGATGGGAATGCTGGCTTTGTTGAGATGCTGGGATGAGTTGAGATGGAGAAGGAAATTCTCGATTTCGTCGAGCATGGTTTCTAGGTTCCGGATATGCGAGCTGAAAGGATCGGAGATGGGAGAACAAGGCTCACCGGGTGAATCGCACAAGGGCGGCAAGATGGCGGAGGGTATAATATTTTTGCCTTGATTGGATGGGATGCGAGCATGAGTGGCATCGTTTGTGTAGCTACACTTGCGGTACCCTTGACATACTGGGGTGGCATCGTACCAGTCCGTGTTGCCACGTTCACAGAGCTCTAACTTGACCTGAGGAGTGTGTTAGGCACAGAGTCCGCCTCAGCACGCTGAACTGGTCTCGAAAATTGGTTACAACTGCTTTCGTTGAAGCTGTCTTGGGATACGCCGGAACTTTGGGCAGAACGAAACTTGGTTGGATATTGCGACGGCATTGGAAAGACCTCGTTCGATTTCGATGATGAAGATTTTGGTGATAATGGATGACTTGGACGACTGTTGGAGGAAGCAATAGTAGCTGAGTCTTCTTCCAATGCTGCGCAGATGCAATGTCCACATTGGCAGGAGGCCTACCTTTGAGTTGGCGATGAAGTACTGCTTTGATTATATGATGGCTTTTGTACAACAACTCGAGTTTCCGTAACAAAGTACGTGTTTTGAAGCCCATAATGTCGACTTTCGTAGTAAAAGTATATGTGATTTAGGCGGGATGCGCGTTCAAGGACATTGCATTGTGAAAGGATACATTTGTAAATTAAAGTCTGTCTCCTATCTACTGGCTCCAAGAAAGATCTGGACATTGTTGGAATATGCACAGACCATGTAACAAATGCGAACGATTCAACGAACAGTGAAGATTCCATCGGAAAGCAAATGTGTAGATGTAGATGCGCCCATTTCACACGGTAACCTACGCGTTCTGTGGCCCCCGTTTGCGCGCATTCGATATGATGCATCCGTGCGTTTACTTTCTTTGCTATCAAACACACGGATCGCGAGGTCGTAGGTCGATCCAGATACAGATATGCACACTCCACTCTCACTTCCTATCACGGTCACTGAACTATAGGACCCATGTCTCATCCCCACCACCGGTCTGATCCGCACTCGCAGCCCGTGGAGATAGAAGAAATGGTTGAGAAATATTCCACTCCATCTGCGGGTTCGCGGCCCAAGTTGGCTTCACGTCAGTCAGTCAAGCCGCTTGCTACAACGGTTACCGGTAGAGGCTCTGCTATCATGAGTCGCGCGTCCTCGCCCATGCATTCGTCCTCAACTTTTGACCTTAATAACACTTATGAGTCCCAGCAGAACCATACACACTCCGGCTATTTCGACCGTGCACAGCTGTTCGGACGAACGCCTCCCCCAGAATTCGTGCCCAGACCACGTCGGCCTCCAACAGCTGCCAGTCCTCGCCATGAAGCGTTCCCAGAGCAGAGCTCGGGAAAGCAACCTAAACCAACCGCTCTTGCGCGTATCCAAGCAAACCCTTCGTCTTCTTTGTATGCGCTAGAGGCTGCGACTACCAAGTTGGATGCTGAACCAGTCGCTACTCCTCCCTTTCGAATTCTGTCGCGGCATTCCTCCTACTTCGCACCACAGGACAGGTCCTCCGATGAGGTTAACACACCAGCCCGTGATTCACAAACAAACTCCGGGCGCGATTCTGCAAAGAGCATTCGATCTTCACGGTCGAGCTTGCTCTCCTCTGCGTATCATGATGAGTGGATTGAAGCTGGTACGCCCGAGGCAACTACAAGTGGTACAGTATCCCCACTAGAGACAGACGACACTTCTGTCAGTGCAGTCGAACGACAGATGAACAAATCCGAACCTCGCAACTTGTCATCAGCGATGGCCGCTTGGCGAGACCACATGTTCAACGGTGGTTCGCCCGCGGCGTCTGGTGATGGTGATGCGCGCCAGCTCAGCTGGACCCGTCGTATCTTTGGTGGTCGGACTATTCCTAGCAAGTCAACTGTCACTACCCAAACCACTCTGCGAAATGATAAGTCGACTAACTCTGGGCATGGAGCTCGCACAACTTCGACAGAGATTGTTCGCAACACAGCCGATCTTATGGAGTCTGGTCGATCATCCAAGGATACTGATAATAAAGAAGCGCTGTCAACGGATGACCTGGAGGAAGACGAGTCTTCTGATTCAGACGCAGAACTCACATTCTACGACTCATCCTCCGGTTCAGAGACGCCACCTTTGTTCCATCTGGAAACATCCCCTCCCTATGAACCTGCCGATCATTCGGAACCAGACATCTCGCCCAGCATGGACGGCGAAACAGAAGAAGCTCTCAACGGCGCAGGACTCATTCAAGGCAACAGCAAAGTCACCTCCAATTCACGCGACTGTGGGCATTCGACAACACTGTCGCGAAGTCCTGAACCTACCAGAACATCCATCACTCCGCTTGAGAAAACAGTCCTGACGATGATGAATCCAATTACAATTTTCTCACAGGCCCCGGAAGCGCCGCACGAGGCATCTGATCCTGTTCCGACAGCACCAACTCCGCCCCTCAAGATAATGATGCCCATCACGATTCACTCCCAGACGCCGACCACACCCATGAACTTCCCTGGATCTCCCCCAACCCAATCAAAGTCTCCTCAACCACGCAACCCGCCTTCTCATCAGCAGCACTTGACCTCTTCGCAGGAATTCGCGATAATCTACGGGTGCGTTTCCTTCGCCGCTGTACGCGTGGCTCTCATGAATGTAGGACGAGACCTGCATGGGTGTGACCTTCTTCACGACATTGTTGTCGGCTTGATTGCTGGCTTGGTGATTGTGGTTATGAGTTGTTTTGTAGGTGTGGATGCACTGTTGAAGGTTGGTGAGGAGGGGTTGCTGGCTTTTGGTGCAGCTGTTGAGGAAGTTTACGGTATGATGGTCGATTGGAATGGTCGGTATGAGTGCTGATTGTCGGGATGAGGTTTCTTTCTTGGATAGATATGAAAGCTGGCGGTATTCGATGTGGATCGTGGAGGCTGTGAGTTGCCAATTCTTATCCTGTGGACTAGAGTCGCGGACGCTTAGCCATGAACATGGTGCCATCAGTCTCACAGTGGTGCTCTGTAAAAATTCAATGCGGTTGAAAAATAAAATAAGCACACCATGAACATGACTGGATGTAGCTTCATTTCAATCACCGAAACGGACAGAAATGTCGTCTTCCAATCGATAGTTGGACCATTCAAGAAAGGACATCTCCACCCAACATGTCCCCATACTACCCCACAGATATCCAAAGACCTTTCATTCACAGCTAGTCTTCCCTCCAGTGGCCCACGCCATTGGTCCCCACTTCCTCAGCATCTGGCACAACAACCGCACTCGTCTTTCTAGCCCAGTATTACGAGATGTCGAGGGTAGCATTTCATTTGCAAAATATCGCTCTTGCACATGAATGGTAAGATCCGTAAGCGCCGTGACGATGAAATTGGCGATGCTTCGCGCCGACGGTATGCGGAGGTCGCACCAGCGCATATTGATGTGGACTCTGGAGCAATGATTCAATGTAGTGAATTTTATAATAAGGATTTGGAGATACTAAACTAAAATGTGGGAAGCTTTTGTGCAGATAAGGTTGCTGTTTGGCGCTGATGTGGTGTGGTGGTGTTGAGAGTGAAGAGGAAGATGATGGTAGTTGACTTACAACGTGCATCGTCGTGGCCTGCAAACTACTTGCAGTCGGAGTTATGAAATGAACCGTTTGGAATTGTTATTTGGATATGTTTTGTCTTCGTGACTGCGATGCAATCGGCCCTCCTTTGCAAAACATCATGTAAACTGGGCGATGGCTTTGCCCGAGAAAAGGTGCACGCTACTGACTACGACATCCGATACAAGATTCATCATCGATACTACCCTACAGTATCCTCATGGAAAGTATTGGCAAATATTGCAGCCGATGTGGTCTAATTATACAAATCCTCACATCAACCACGAGTATAGACAAAAAGAGTAACAGAATCATCTGCCTCCAGAATTGTAGCATACATATCATGTGGCAGAAAGCTAAGTCATATATCGAAGCGGATGATGTTTGTTCAGAGATGTCTAAGTCAAAATAACGTAGCAGACATCTAATCCACCGTCGGTACAAGCACAAATCGTTCCATCTTCCTCGCATCCAGTGTGTTCGCCATCAAACAAGTACGCTCAAACTGCATGATCACAGCTCACGATTAGATTCCTCCGACTGTGTTGTCACGGCCTACAGTACCGTAGACTCCAACCCAGCCCGCCATCCTGCCCCGTTCGCCATCATCATCATCATCTCTCTCTCTCTCTCTCTCTTTCTTTCTCGTCTTCGCCTCGCGCTTGACGCACATGATCAACGCAATGTCCAAGCAAAAAATTCTCAGCTCACTAGCCAGCTCCAACCCCGACATGCAGAGAAGCCTGAACATCCAGTTCCAGTGTCCTTCCAAATCACCCATGCCCGCCTCCACCCAATCCCAATTCATACACAATACACACATCAAGCTACACAAAACACACCACACTCTACACCCACCACACAAGCCCCACCCAGCATCCTCCCCTCGCACCCCCATCGCAAACCCAAACTACACAAAAAAAGAACCCCCCAAAATCGCGCTCACCTCACCTAACAACCGCCCAACCCATTCCCCCCCCCAATTCCAAAACCTCCCACCCACGATCCCAACGCCGCCCAAACACTGTCAGAGATACATTTGACAAACATGGTGTACCCACGCAAAACGACCCACCACCAGCCTATTCAGCACCAAGGTAGTCGGCGAAGCTAAATTGGGCCAAGGAG